GAATAGCATCTCCTGTGGACACTTCCGCCTGCCTCTCAGGCCTCTCCTCTCCCCGGAGACTGGTGATGTTCACTGTCCACGTCCCAGCGCCACCCTGGGGAGGTCCCTGTCTCCTCACCCCTGTCCCCTCTCCCCTCACCCCTCACCCCTTACCCTTCATCCCTCACCCTTGTCCCCTCACCCCTACCCCTCACCCCTTACCCCTGTCTCTCCTTTAGCGGCGCCAAATGGCCAGCCCAGAGGTGCTGTGATGGGAGGAGCCGGGGTAATGAACTCCCATTGGCTTCCTCACAAGATCACTGTCTTAATTTACGAGGCCTGAGTGAGTCTCATTTCCCCAGTGCGCGCTGAGTAATTAACTATTAATAAAAGCATTACTGAGTTAACCACGGGGGCATGTTTAATTCATGGGGCAGCCCTGCCACACGACCGAGGCGCTGGCTCAGGGGGGATTCCTCCCGGAGCAGAATAGGGCCTGCGGATGCCGCCCCTGCCGCCCCTGGGCCCCGTGCCACCGCGGGGGACACTCTTTATGCCCCTCACCAGAGAAGCCAATCCCAGGAGGGTGCGGAGACCTGGCGTCCCAACTAGCCATGTGGGGCACCGGGGTGGGGTGGGTTGGGGCTGAGCCCTGGGAAAGGATCCGGCTGCTCTTGGGAGCTAGTGAGGGAATGACCTTGGGGAGTTGTCTAGCGTCTCCTGTTTGTCATCTGGAAGGGGGCCAGGGTGGGCTGCGGGAGTGAGCCAGTGCTGTTCACTGGTGTGTTGTGACCTTTAAGACCTGCCACTCCCCCACCCAGAGGCACGGGCCATCGGTGAGTGTTGGGGGTGGGGGTGGAGGAGATACCTGCTTGCTTGAGAGGAAGTTGGGAGAACATTCCTATTAGGATTCCTCCTGGGAGACCTGGGGGCTTTGCTCCCTCCTCTTACCCAGATGAACTAACTCCTATGTACAGTACCCAAAACACCATCCTCGTGCCTCGATTCCCCCCCTTCCCCCTGCCTGGTATGCTTCACCCTTACGTCTGCTTGGCAACGCCCATTCAGTCTTCCACTCAGTCCAAAATGGGCAGCTCCTCCTGGAAACCTTTGCTCCTGCCCCAGGCAGAACTGGTTTCTCCGCACAAGCTCTGCATCTGTGTCTCCCAGTAATTCTATGATGACATCCATCCACCCATCCACTCACCGTCCATCCATCCGTCGTCTATATACAGCATCTATAGTGTACATCTTTGATCCTGTGGTTTTTAAGTTGTGGGTGAGTCTGGCTTTCCCTCGACCAGTGGTTCTTAATCTTTTAGGGGTCAAAGGCACTCTTCTCCCCCCAAATGCACATATGCATGCACATGTCAGATACGGGTTTTATCCTTCTTCAGGGACCCCTGGCCATCCCTGAGGCCGGCTGTGGTCCTGGGCGTCTGGAGGCTGTGATGAGCTCTCAGACGCCCTCTGACAATGAGGGTGGTTCCCTGCGGCAGGGGGGCGGGAGTCAGCCCTCAGGGGTCAGCCTCCTTTGGAAATTCTCATTGGAAACAAACAGCCTCAGCCAAAGCCACACCTCCTTCCGGGGCAGGTCCACTTCCAGTGACAGATCAGTCTGAGCTTGCGGAGGCCACAGCCCCTCACCCCACCTTGGGCTGCTCAGCTCCAGGGCCCTTTGTGGGGACTCAACTTCTCCCACTCCTCAAACCTGCGTCCTTCTACGCCCTTCCATGTGTGTTTCCCAAGACCGGTTCCTAAATAACACCTTACACCCTAATCTCCCGAGTCTGCTTCCGAGAGAACGGACAGGGTTAAAAGGTCCTGCAGAAGCTCCCTGCGGACAATGGCAGCATCTGATGACTCCTCTGTTTCTGGCTCACATGGGGCAGAGCGTGTGGGCCGTGAGGTCCGAAAGGTTGGTGACCGCTGCTCTGGAATTTATTAAATGCACTGCATTGCACTTTCCCCTGGTTCTCTCTCCGTTCCTCTGTCGTCCCAGCAGGAGAGTTCTCATCAGACTTCCTGGAGAAAGCACAGCCCCGCCAGCAGGATGCCAGCAGAACAAGGCTGTGGGTCTGTTCCTGGGAAAGGCGCTAGTTGCCAACGAAACTGCAGATAGCCATGGGACCAGAAGTCAAGCTAGCTGGGCACTACAGAGCCGGCCAAGGGGCCTGACGCATGTCAGGGAGGAGAGGGGATGGCTGGAGGGCCAGGAGATGGTGGAAATGGGTGGGGGAGGTGGGGAACAGCTTGCCATTGCAGGACAAATCATCTAGAAGTTAGGATGGTCCCTGGGGCCCAAAAAATCCAGTTAATTCCCACAGTTGGAAATTCCTTCCCAGGACAAGTTTCTATTAAGGGCCTCGCTGGGCCAGGCACTGGAGCAGGCAGCACTCCGCGCTTGCTCCTCCTCTCACTTGCTCCGTCACCTGGGCCAGTTATGTCACATCCTCCTTGCTGACCTTTGTAAGTGGCTATTACTATGTGCCCAGCACTGTGCTGCTGTATACAGACATGTCCTCTTAGCAACAGCTTCATTAGGAGGTATGTGTTAGGATTCCTGCTTCACAGACAAGGAAACAGGCTCAGAGATCAGCAACATGCCCCAGACACACCGCAGAGGCATGACTCCAGGCAGAGGCGTGCTTAATGTTAACTCTGCGAGCTGTTTCCACAGCTGTGAAATGGGTACAGTCAATTCCTACTGCACTGGGATTTAGAGATTAAATAGCCGACATGACAGACCTCGAAGGTGCCCAGTGACTGGTCCATTCCGTTCCCTCGGTTTCCCTGGTCCCCTGCCTCAACATTTCTCTGGGCTGGAAGGATGGCCCCATTTGCCATCTCTCCGAGGACGAATGTCTGCCCCAAACTCAGCTCAGTCTCCGGCATGGGATCAGCACTCCTGGGATGCCGTCAACCCAAATAGATGCTATGCATCCCCACCCTCCGTTCTCTGCACGTTGGGGACCCAGCCCAGCCCATCAACAGTCCACAATGCAGCAAGCTGTGGCAAGCATCACAAAGACTGTTCTCATGGTTCTGAGTAACTCTACTCTCAAGCCACTGGGAGTTTCCTATTTCCCTCGGAATGGAGCAGAAACAGATGGAGGTGGTGCCCTGAGCCCTCACAGCAAGGGAAGGTTCCAGAAGGAAGATGAAGGCATTCCGGGCCCTGTCCCTTGGGCGGGCGAGCTCCAGCTCGTTCTCATCCCCACCACGACCTCGGCTGCAGACATCCTCATATATTGGGGGCAATAACCTTCCTTCCGCGGTAGGCTCCCAGGAGAGACGGTGGGCATGTAAGCACTTAAAACTGGAACCTGCAGGTCAGCCCACACTCCCTCCTCCCTCCTCTGCAGAAGCCCTGGAGCTGCAGGCTTCTCGGGGACAGACAGCACAGCCTTGGAGAGACAAGTCACAGCCTGAGCTTCCTGAGACCTGTGCAAGCACCGAGTTACCATGGCAACGATGCAGCCCTGCGATGCAAGGGCAGCAGACAGCATGGGTGCTGCTAGGGCTCCAAGCGGAGGCTGGACAGGGTCTGGCCTGGGAGGCCAGGCGATGGGGCTGGCAGGGGGAAGGGGCAGGGGGAGGAGCCCCTCCTCTAGGATCAGCTGGTAATTGCTGCTAAGTGAGGGGCTGTCATTGAACCTCACATGCAGGCGGCACTGGCCTCTGCTCTGCACCCTGTAATTACTGCACCAGACAGCAGCCTGCGCTCCCTGGGTAGGAAGAGGGGGCAGGTGGGAGGAGGGGCAGGCAGGAAGCTCTCGTCCACCTGAGCCAGGATCCTGGCAGGCCCTCCTGCAGCCCAAGTGTCCTGCATCCCAACCAGCCTCCCAAGCAGAGGCAGGGCTGAGGGGGTCCTGACCCCTCCTTTTTGCGAGCTCGCCCATCATCTCGTGGAACACGAGCTTCCTTTAATCCTGAGCTTGCAGAATCCAGGGGAGCAGAAGTGCAGGAACCAGATAAGGCACCTCAGCGAGCCCTTCCTGTCATGCCTCCCGGGTACGGGAGAATTCTGTGCGGCAAAGCTCAACGTGAGCCTGGAGGCTCTGAGGACCTCAGACTAGTCACACACCCACCCCCTGCCTCCGTGGACTGGGAGGGGGCGGGTCGCAACAATTCTCAAGGTTTTTTCAGCAGCAGGGGTTGGCAAACTGCAGCCAACACGCAGAGTCCTATTTCTATAAATGAGGCTTCCCTGGAACACAGCCTGCCCGTGTGTGGTAGGATCTGTCCACGGCGGCTGTCCTGCTGCATCGGCAGACTTTAGAGGCTGCAACAGAGACCAGATGGTCCCCAAATGGGAAATATTTACTATCTGGCCCTCTTAAAAAAGTTTGCCAGCCCCATGCCTCAAACACTAACGTTCTCCTAGGCTTAAAAGGGGCTTTCGTGGCTCCAACCTATCAGAACAGCTCATAACAGTCTCCCCCGCGCCCCCCAACAGACACCCATACCGCCTGCCTGGGCTTGGGTGGTGGTTCCCCCAGTTCTGGGAATCACCTCGTGGTGCGATGGCGCCACCTGCTGTGAATGCCTACAAGCTCCTGTGCTTGGGAGGGTGACCCGTGGCCAGAGTCCCTCCCAATGCCGGGGAACCGGCTCCCAGGAGCAGGCCAGGCCTCAGAACCAGAGCACATCAGAGCTGGGGCTTGTCTCCTCCCTCCCCACTTGACAGACAGCGACTCGTCCAGGTTAGGCGACGGGAAGGCCCAGAGGCCCATCCCCCATCCACGTGTTTCAGGGACAAACACTGGGCACACACACCTGATGCTGTGACCTGTAGGTCAGCCACTCATTTAGGGTCTTGGATCCTTGGTTGTTGAAAGGATTCTCAAAATAAACACTAATATAATATTTAAACTGATTCCAACCTTCAGGACCACTCTGAGACACTTATTACCCCCACTGCAGATAAGTTAAATAATTTGGTCAATAAGTAACGGGTGCTAAGCGACAGTCAGGATTCAGATCCTGGCTGTGAAAAGCTTTAAGGTCCCCAGAACATGGTGCTCAGCACACATTCCCTCTCCTGCCTGCAGGTGTGCTCGGGCCCCGAGAGGGTGCTGGGCTCAAGCAGGAGGACACTTGACGGGAAGGCCTGGAGTCTGGCCAGTCACCTGCGAGGCCCCAGGCAGAGAAAGCAGGAGCCAGGCCGACTGCCCCTCCCTGCCCCCACGCGTCCAGGCAACATGAAGTGACCAGTGGACTGTAAACCCTTTATTTCCGAACTATAAATAGACCGGCTCTCTGAGCTAAGAGCTGTCTGAGTGAGAAGCCCCCAGCTCTCCATCTCCCCCCAGCTGCTCTGCAGCCCAGGCCCAGGCCCCTGAGACAGCCGTGACACCTCTGAAATCATGATCTTGGCAGCCGGAGCCTGGCAAGCAGCTGAGCACAGACCTCCGCTCCTCGGCTGTGACTCCGGCACAGCGTGGGGCCTGTTCTGCCTGGTGCTCCCGTTTGACCAGCTCTTCACGGGTCCCGTGCTCCCCGAGGCGCAGCCTGGACACTGCGGGCCCACGGCTCCCAGCTGCTGCGAGAGGCCACCTGGTCCCTGAGCTGCCGTCAGGATGAAGGCTGGGAGCGGCCTGCTTCCAAGCTGCTCCCCTGGCCGGTTGCTGCTATCCCTGGGCCACCAAGTCCTCCTCCGCCGCCTCGTTCTCCCCTTCCTCTGGCTGGCTGCTCCGCAGCAGCAGCTCCAGGTCTGGGTTGGAGCCCAGCCCCTTCGAGGGCTTAGGGTCGCCATCACCTGGGGATGAAGAGAGACCAGTTACAGCCCCAATCAGCTCCTCAGCCCTACGTGAGTGTGTGTCAGTCTCCAGGCCCCCTCCCCAGCTCCTTGGAGATGACTCCTGTCTCCCTGGGAGTGGCCGTGGCCCAGCCCCCAGCATGCCCAGCAGAGGCGGCCGAATGGTGCAGATTGGAACTACTTGGGAAAGCCGAGGCCCCTTGCCTCTTCCCGGGAGGAAATCAGAGGGGCTGAAGTCGTGGGGAGAAAGTCATGAATGCGGGCGTAGGAGAGGGGTTCGGTTACCTCTGGAGTGCATGGCTTTGAGGGCGACGTGCAGGGATATTCCCGAGAGGCAGAGGGCGAAGCCCAGCCAGTTCAGGAGGCTGATCTGATCGCCCAGCAGATGACCTGCCAGCAGCAACGTGCAGACTTCCTGCGGGCAGAGAAGCAGGAAGGGGAGGTGATGGGCGGGAGGAGTGGGCCCCTTTGCAAAGAGGGCCAGGCACTAAGCAGACCACAGGGCGGCCGGCCTGCAGGGCGGAGAGGAAGCTCCCGGGGCCTGGGGTAATGCTTCCTCTTGGTGTTACTGAGGACACACAGGAGGTGCCTTCTCAGAACTGCCAGGATAAAAAGAGGCAAACCGAAAGCTGCTGTGTCCACAGGAACAAAGGAGAGCCCTCCGGAAGGCGGAGGTGGGGAGCCCTCAGCTGCCGGGGAGAAGGCGACGTCATACAGGGCTCTGTGGGACATGCACTGGTTAGGGCTTCTTCCTGTACAACGGCCGCCAATGGCACTGTGCAATGACTCATTCTGAGAACAGTGGCTCAGGCCTCATCATTGGGTTGGCAATCGGAAAACCCCTGGGGAGCCCCCGCTTCTGCTTTTAGGCAGCAAACTCCCTCAGCTCCAAGGAAGGAGTGAGACCCGTGGTGTAGGGAAGAGGGAAGTGACTAGAGGGCTGCCAGGGAGAGGTAAAGGCAGGCTAGGCCAGCACAGGGCACTGATTAACTGTCCCTGGCTGTGCCCATGGCAGACATCACCAATCAATCACAGAACTTGATACTGATGAGTCTAAGCGGGGGCTTCTCAATCCATGGCTCCCTGCTGCTGCCAAAGTACCAAGTTGGCATTCCTTGTAAAAGGTAAACGCGTCCCAAGCCTAGTGGAGTCAGACCTGACTCTGCACCCCGGCTCAGCCACTAGCTGTGTTTTCTGGGGTCGGAGCAGCTCATGTCTCATACCCCCCCCGCCCCCCCAGGGCTGCCGTGAGGGTGGGGGGTACAGGTGAGAGCATGGCACTTAGCACCCTAACGAGGCACTTCCCTGTCTTCTCCATAGGCCCTGGGGTGCAGGAGCGGCTGGCTCCTCTCTGAGACAGGACGGGGGTCACCTCTGAGTCTGTACCTTAAAAATGCCGGCAATGGAGAGAGTAAGGCTGGAGGTTCTGGAGACCAGGAGGAACTCGGAGAAACCCAAGCCAAAGGCAAGAATCCCGCCAAGGAAGAGGCTCCCGAGCACCCGCAGGAGCAGCCCCGTGTCCTGGAAACGGAAGATTTTCTCAGAGGTGGACAAATGGAGACCTGGAAGCAATGGGAGACAGGGGGGCCATGTCCTGGTGTGCCTGCCAGGCAGCCTCACCTCCCGCAGCCACAGCCGGTGAGAACGGCCCCTGTCGCAGGGCACGCTTCCTAACCCCTGCTGACTGTCTCAGGCCCCACGACAAGGACGGGAGGAGCTCACGCAGACGGCCGGAGACGTGAGGACACCAGGAAGCGGGACGGCAGCCCCAGAGCCCAGGGAGTGGCAGGAGGGCCTCGGGGACCCTGCGCTCAGTATGGGGGCTGCACCACAGGGACAACCCCCTGCTCTTCCACGTGGCGTTCCCTCCCATCTGCGGGGGAGCAGTGAGGGCGGTGCCTTCCCCAGGCCTGTGATAACCGATGGGCCCAAGAGAGGTGGGGCAGGCACCAGGGAGGACTCTCAGCCCCCGGGCAACGGGCGGGGGAGGCCGAGGGGGAGGCCTCGGTTCTCCTTGTCAGGGGGGCCCCTATAGACAGTGGCAAAACTCGTGTACACCGAGGCCCGGCTACTGCACAGCTGTGGGGACGGGCAGAGACACGCCCCACTTTGGGAGCAGTTTCCCCTCTAATAAAAAAAAACCGGCTGGGACTAGATGCATGTTTCTCAAGCAGATGGTATAATCTGATGAACAGTTCTCAAAATAAACACACACACACACACACACACACACACACACAGCATATAAACACTCGACTAAAGCCACGGCCCCCCCCTCCAGAGACACCCACACAGGCATCCCAGGGGCAAATTAGGCTCTCAGAGGACTCCGGATCCTCCCTAGGGGTGTCGAACTCAATCAGAGAAGGGGCCAAAATCTAAAATCCAGCCTAAATCGAGGGCCGAATGGTTTACTGAACAGTCATAAACTGTCATTGTGATGGAAACGCAGCGGAGTGCAGTGATGACAGCGCGATGCGGGCCACATTGCAAGGCCTGGCGGGACGGATTTGGCCCGCGGGCCTTGTGTTTGACACATGTGCTCCACACTGTCCGTCTGAGAGGGTGATTCCTGGGGCCCCTCCCTGCAGGAAAGGCCCCTGAGAGTATTCACAGGACGCGAGGTGAGCCCAGACTAGGCACAAAGGACACTCTTGCAGGGGCAGGAGGCTGGCTGAGGACTCTGAGACTTTGGAGGGAAGAACCAGAGAAACAGAGTGACAGCCTCCCCCCCAGCCCCCCAAACAGCCTCCGATGGAGGACATCTGCCTGTGCTGGGCTCAGCAGTACTGCAGAGGCATGGCAAATGGAAGGGGCTCGGGGAAAGGAACATAAGTAATGAAGGCGCTTGGGGGATTAATTTACCAGAAAAGATTAAAGGAGTTAAATCCATGCAGCTTTGCTAAGTGACGACCGGGGCCTTTCGGGGCTTTTGGGGGAGGGCTGGCAGAGATGGGGAGCGGTGCAGACACCCGGGGCGGAGGGAGAGTGTGGTGTTTTTCCCGGGGACACAATGGAAGAGATTTTAAAAGAGGGGAAAATGAGGCTGCAGACAGAAGTTTCCTGGACAACGGGGCCACATGTAATTTCCTCTGAGGTCCGAGCCGCTTCACTGCTTGCCACTTAAATGGAAGCGGGTCAGAATTTCCTGTAATGACGCTGAGGACAGTAGGGACTCTGGGAGGAAGGATAAACAGACAGGGGACAGAGCCTAATCCCACAACATCAGAGGAAGGAGGGTGCTGTGCACCTCCCAGCCTGGACGACCCTCCCTGTGCCCTCTGCTCTGGGAGAGGACAGGGGAGGGGAACTGCTCACCTGCCCAGACTCCCTGAACCCCCGGTCCCCCAGCACACACTCCTGCAATCAGCACACACTCCATTCCTCAGAACCTTCTGTTTCCACTTCCTGGGGTGCTCCCCCCGGTCCCCCATCAGCCTGTCCAAGTCCCATCCATCCTTCCAGATACACCGTCAGGGAAGCCTTCCCGCCCTCCCACCACGGGGCAGAGCGTGACCTCTCCTCCTAAGAGGCGGACACAGGGGATGGCTAAGAGGGGGGGCTCCGAGCCGGCTCCTAGATCCAAGTTCAGGCTCGTTTATGAGGCAAGGCTGTCTCTGCTCCTCTCTGCCTCAGTTTCTTTCACCTGCACGATGAGGACTCACAGTACTGCCCCCTGGGGCTTGGGGGGCATTAAAAGAGGTGATGTACGTACAGCGATTAGAACAGCCCTGGCCTAGCTCTGGAGCTGGACACGCTCACTGTCATTGCCGCCTAACATGCTTCCTACATTTCCATGTGACGTTTATCCTGCTGGACTCTAGCTGTCTGGTCTAAGTGTCTGTTCAGACACACAAACCGGGCACTGCCAGGGCACAGTGCCGGGCTGAGAGGGGGCTGGGGGCCGGCTGTGCTGACGTGCCCCAAGGCGGACAGCCCAACCTACCTTCAAACACGGCAAAGAGAGGAAAGAGCCCGAGAAACATGAGTGGCTGCAGGTGGAACATGGTGTCGATGGGGTTCTGGAGCCCTACAGAATGGGGACACGGTGAGCCGCCAGCCTGGCCACCTCCTCCCCTTCCCCCAGGAGCCCCTCCCCTCCCCTCCCCTCCCCTGTGCTGGGCCCCGCTCTCACCAAGATCCGCCTTCTGCAGGAGGATCTGCGTGAGGGTCCAGCGAATGCCGCCGATGAACGAGGCACCCAGCACCAAGGCGAAGCCCTCCATGTTGAACTGTGTGGACTTGTAGGTGAACATGAAGAGGCCCCCGGCGATGAGGAGGACCACCAGGACCAGCGCCGCCCGCTGGGGGGGAGGGGGTAGGGAAAGCAGGCGGCAGTCACTGGGGAGTCTCCGGTCACCCCACCTGGAGTTTGGAGGCTGGCAGCCACCTTGGCCGGCCCTTCTCTCCCCACCCAGCACCCTGGAAGGCCCTGGTCAGCTTCTTCCCACGGAGTGTGCAGGGCTGCATCCAGCTGGCTCGTCCCCAACACCTCCCCCCCTCCCCGCAGCCAAGGTGCGGCCTCGCACAGCAGGTGCCTCCGGCCCAGCGTGACCTGACTTGGCCCCTCTTCCTGGAAGCTTTCCCCCCTTGGCCTCTCCCCCCTCCCTGCCACGCCGCTTTCTAAGCTGCTCAGGGGTGCCCGGTGCTGGGTCCGGGATGGGCTTGTCTCCTCTGTCCCAGTGAGGAGCCGCTGCTCAGGGCCCCCCCCACCCCATGCTTACCACCCGAGGGGGTAGGAGGGACTAAGGGGGTGCTGGGGCCTCACCAGCTCCTCCAGCTTGAAGATCAGCGAGAAGATCAAGATGAAGAGGACGGCTGAGGATTTGGTCATGGTGTATCTGGAAGCGAAAGTGGCCACAGTGCACAGCTGGAACCCGGGCTCAGACCCGCCATCCAGAACGGACCCCACAGTGGTCAGTGGGCCGGAAAGGGGGGGAGCTTCCTGACTTCCCCAAGGGCCACGGGCTCTGCTCAGGGCGGCAGGACAACATGGGTGCAAAAGACCAGAGGAAGGCGCCCGAGTCCCCTGGGCCGATACGTGACCTCTAACGGAAGGAATCTCCGAGAGGCTTCTCGTTACCAGCCGGGAGGAAAGGCGGCAGGCCTGACACTGAGCTGTTATCACCCACCCTCAGCGGAGACCGGGGCGAGGGAGGAAGGATGAGAGCAGAGCAGGAGAAGGCAGAGACTGTGCTCTCCAAGGCCAAAATGGGCTGAGCAGTCACTGCCGGGCCCTCCATGCAGCTGCGCACTGCGCACCGACATGCCTTCCCAGGCACCGTCCCTTCTGCTCGAGCTCCTGGCTGCCCCCGGCCGCCTGCAGAGAGCCCAGCATCGCCTTGCCCAGCGTAAGGAAGTTTCTGGAAAGCTGCTGGGCGTCAAGGAGGAGCTCAGAGAGGACGGCTGGCCCCAGAGGGAGTGTGCAGTGCGGGCTTGCCGGTCAGGGTGCAGACAGCCGGCCGGCCGGACAGGGAGCACGGGCCTGCGGGGGGCGTACTCACAGTGAGACGGTGATGTAGAGGAAGCTCCAGTTGGACAGGCCCACGTCGAGTGCCGTGGCCAGCGCTGAGGAGACACAGGGCGCGTGTGAGCACGCCGGGGAGAGAGGGCAGGTGGTATGAGGGGTCCAGGGATTCGAACACTTCCGTGAGTCCCCCCGCCTTCTCTGGGGCTTCAGGCCTTCCTTTCTACCCAGCAACTGAAAGGTTAACTCACAAGACGTGGGGAGGAAGGGGGTCTGCTCCAGTATTCAGGTTGAGGTGCATTCTGACTGGCTGGGGCCTGTGTCCTTCCCACTTGCTTAATTCTTTGCACACCCTCCCTGCTGACAGATATCAATCCGATCCTGCACACTCTTCAGAGTGGTCACGGAGGAGGACCTGGCCCCCAGGACCTGACCCCGTCCACCCTCTCACTTCCTCTCGCCAGTGTTGAGTTCTCAGCGCCCCAAGACACTTTCAGTTCCCTAGAGACTCCCACATGCACTAAGCCCCTCCCCTCCCCGGGGCCGCCCGGGCCCACTCGCCCTCCAGCTCTCAGCCCCCTCAGCCCTGGCTCTGGGGAGCCCTCCCCGCCGAGCACCGAGAGCAGAGACCACACGCTCTGCTCACCAGCACCTCCAGGCCTGGAAACACAGCTCAGTGTGCATGTTCAAGGCCAAGGCAACCACAAGGCTACCGCTGCACTGGGGGGGCTTTGTGTGGTGTGCACGGGGAAGTGGGGAGATGGGGAGCACACATGAGGCGGACGTGGGGGCAGGGAGGGCAGGCGGAGAGGAGTGAGGAAACATGGGTGGGGCAGGGAGAGAGGGGCCAGCGGGGCTTCCTCTTGTTCCGGGCCCATGGCTTCCCAAGCAGCCCTCCTCCCGCCGGGCTCCCCACGGGCACACACCTGTCGGAGCCACTCTTCTGAGGTAGTCGGTCCAGCTCAGCACCACGCGGGCCCGGTGGCTGGAGCACTGGACCAGCGCCCGGGACAGGGCGGAGAACAGGAAGATCACGGCCAGGTGCAGCATCGTCATGAAGAGGGGGAAGTGGAAGCTCTGCAGGGGCCAAAGCACAGCCGCCGGCAAGGCTTAGCAGCCAGCCCTCCCCCGGCTCCCCACTCCCGGCTCCCCTCAACCTCACTCGGCCCCTCCCACCCGCCCTCCCCACCTGACTCCCCCCACCCGGTGGCAGAGGCCCTGGTTCTCAGCTTGCTGAGAGCTCTGCAGGGGCTTCCACCCACATTGCAATCGCTTGGCATCAGGCTTAGTCCCAGAGTGGAGGCCACAGAGACAGCAGGTGGATGAATGGCCTCAGTGGTAGCTCAGTGCTGTCTCCGCCTTCGCCGGCCTGTCAGCTACCTGCCCCAGCCCCTCCCCGAGGCCACACCCAGGAAGCAGCAGCTGGGCCAGGACGGCGGTGCCAGCCATTGGCGTACTGGACTACTTTGCGACCTGTTGGTCAACAGCTGCTGCTTAAGCTCCCCAAGTCTCCCCCGCTCATCCCTGTGCCCCCCCCACCCCCCCCACCCCGCAATGCAAACATTTCGGGAGAATCCCTGACATGGCAGCGCTGGCTGCAGGGCTCCGTCCCATCACCAATGTGATGGCGGAAGCCCGAGCCTTCCTGTCGTTAAGTGTCAGGGGCACTGCAGCCCCGCCACCTCCCTCCCGGCCCCGCGGTGCAGGCTCCCAGTCACCTTGGTCAGCCATTTGTTGTAGAAGGTGATGCCGATGGAGAAGCAGTAGTAGAGGAGGACCAGCCCCAGGGTCAGCACTGCCCTCCACACAAAGGCCACGTCGAGGGCCCACCTCCCCATCTGCAGGAGCAGAGGCTGCCCGCGGGGGTGGGCGGGGGCAGCACCTCTCCTGAAGGCGGACCGCAGGGAGAGCCGCTGGGCCCAAGCCAGGACCTCCAACAAGAACTCGCAACAAGCACGTCGCCCGGTGGGAGGCGTCCTCCTCACTCCATGTCGGGTGGCTGTGGAGCCCAGGCCGCGTCCTCACCTGAGGGGCTGGGGACCCAGCCAGTCCTCTCCATGGTCACCGGGCAGGGCTCCCAGGGCCCAGGTCTGAGGCTAGAAGGGGACAGAGGCAGCGCTGGTGACCTGGGCAGAGCCGGGGCCATCTGACGCCACCCGCCCAGGCCTGTCCCGCAGGGAGAGGGAGCAGACAGGAGCGGGAAGGAGCCCGCCCCAGCACGGGCGCCCCCAGCTCAGCTCCCGGCCACTTCCACTCTCTTGTCGCCCCAAGCTGTTCCCCATGAATTGCTACCAAAGTGACCTTCTTAAAACATAAATCTGATCGTGTCAAGATTACTGCTGAAAGCCCTTCTGCAGCGTCCAGTGGTCTTAAGATACAGATCGAAACCCTTCTTTAGGCTAAAAAGGCCCGATCGGGCCCCTGCAGGCCTCAGCTTAGCTGCGGCCCTCGTGCCGGAGTCCCACCGGCCAGCCGCCTTTTGGCTCCCGAGCAACCAGGCTCCATCCTGCGCCTGGAGGAGCCGGCCTCTGCCCTCCCTCCATACGTTCTCAGCTGATCTTCAGCTCAAATGTTGCTTCCTCAGTTCCCCCGCCCCCCAGAGGGATGGGTGCCCCTGACACAGGCTGCTCTCATAGGTCCCCCTGATTCTCCATCGGACCTGTGCAGGGCATGATGGTCTGTGCCCCCTGGGAGGCAGTGAGCTCCGGGAAGACGGGCCCGCCACACCCATGCTGGCCTTACGGCCCACCTGACCCATGGTAAGTCTCATACGGCGACGACTCACTGCAGGAGAGTGGGCCTGTGGTTTCTGGGCACCAGTCTGGTCATTAAGGTGTTAAAATGGACCAGGGTCCCAGTCGGTGTGGCTCAATAGTTGAGCATCGACCCATGTGCCACCCGTCAGGGCTCAGGCCTGGGTTACAGGCCCGATCCCTGGTGAGGGGCGTGCAAGAGGCAGCCAATCGATGTCCTCTCTCACTGATGTTTCTCCCTCTCCCTTGCTCTCTCTCTAATAATAATCATCATCATCATCAGCAGCAGCAGCAGCAGCAGCAGGAAAATGGACCAGGAATGCCCTTAACCTTCCCAACCAGAGCGTGGGCAGTGCGGCTCAGGGTCCGAAGTGTGGGCCCGGAGTGAGAAAGACCTGTGGTCCAATCCTGGCTCCTCTCCTTCCTATTTCGTGGCCCCAGTCACCTGACTTATAGACCTCAGTTTCCCCAACTGTAAAGGAGGATAAAGTCCTGAGCCTCCTGGGAGGGGAGTCAGTGGCGTCAGGTACCGACCTTGCCGTAGACTCTAACAGCGTCACAGACAGGGAGCCTGCCACAGGGTCTTACCAAACCAAACCACCCCCGGCTGCCTATCAACCCAGCCAACCCCAGTGAGTGCCCAGCACACCAGACCCCTCCCCCCGCGTCCAGCTTATCCCACCTGCTGCTTCATCTGTGCCCTCCCTGCCTCCTCCTTTGATACATTCCCACCCTAAAATGCCTCTGCCCAAAAGCCTTCCTACAACCATCAGTCAGAGGCTCCCCAGCTTCCCCTCCAGGTCCTCTCTGCAGGAGCATCCACCCTGTTTCTGTGCTCTGTATCATCCCCCCTTCCCCAAGCAAACGGGAGCTGGCCCCGGCGCCTGTCCCCAAGGACTCCCGAGGGCTGGGGGAACCCGGCGGTGTCCTGCAGGGACACTCCTGGCTCTGTGAGGGGGGCTGTGGGGCGGGCAGTGCACATCACAGAGACCCGGTCTGCGGCCTCAGGACTTTGCGATTCCTGTAGGATCCAGAGCAGCTTAGAAAGAACCCAACTCTGTTTGACAGGGAACAGGGCAGTCTTTCCATGGTTCTCCTAAGTTCCAGGCAGGAACGTTTCCAAGAACACATTTACTGTGCACACTGAGGGGAGACGGAACGGTTTGTGGTGAAAGGGTACCGCGAGCTCCCAGTCTGGAAGAGCCAGCCGCGGGCGGGCGGGGCGGCGGGGGCTGGAGCTGCCAGGGGCTGAGGCGGCTGCACTGGCGTCATTGCTGCAGGTGCCACAGGAGTGGGGGGCGGGGCTGCTGCACTGTCGCTTCTAGCAGCCTGTGCCCAGAACTCACATATTGAAACATTATTACCAACTGCTTTCCTTTGGTTTCTTTTACATTATGGGTGGGACATTGCCAATTAAAACAAACACAAAAACAAAAACCAACACAAAACACGTGTTGGCAGTTTTTTGAACCATAAGTTTCATTTTAAGATAATAAGGGGGGGGGGAGTTATCACCAAAATATTTATCATTAAAAAAGGGCGTAGCATCCAGGAGGCTGAGAGCCACTGTGCTATTTTGCCTAACGTGGGCCCATTCCTTGAAAGGTCTCTGTAAGCCGACATGACCCAATCTCTCCCTCCTTCCCTCCCCCACCCCCACCCCGCTCCCCAGCAAACACAGGATATCCCACTGCCTCCTTGTCCTCTTGGCTTGGACGTCTAACATCAGGTGCCTCCCGCCCAGCCTGTCCAGAGTGGACTCCTGCTCTCCAGGAGTCCTCCGCCCTCCGGCAAAACCTGCTCCTCTCCCACCTCAGCCAGTGGCACCACCAGTCACTAATTGCTAGTTGCTCAGGCCAGAAACCTTGTTCTCAGCCTTGATTCCTTTTTTCCCCTCAGCCTACATTCAATCAAGTACTGTCAGATCCATCTTAAAAATGGTGGTCACATTTCCTGACCTCCACCACTACCACCCAGCCACCATTCCCTTTCCCCCACCCGATGCATTAGTCTCCTATACAGTTCTCTCTCTTTTTCTCCCTGCCCCGCCCACAGTCAGAATTCTGCTAGCGCAGCTAGGCAGTGGGGTTCAACAGGTCTCAAGGCTCCCACTCCTTCCTCTAGACCAGGGCTTCTCCACTTGGCATGATGGACACTCAGAGGCCTGTCCTGTGCACTGCAGGACATTCAGCAGCATCTGGTCCCTAACCACCAGATGCCCCTCAGCCCAAGTAATGAAAACAAGAGTGTGTCCAGACATTGATGAAGGTCTCCCGGGTTGAGAAGCACTGCCTACACCACAGGTGACTACAGGCAGGCCGGCACTGAGAGGTCTTTCTTCCAGCCCTCCCTCCCCGTGGTCCTATCCACGGCTTCCAAGACAGGGCAGTGTATATCCTTCTGTGAATCAGCTTCTCCTACCTCCTGCCTTTGCTGCAGTTCCTGCTCCAACACTGTGACACCCTCCACCCTCCCTCTTTCCTCCAAAGAGCCGGTGAGGTCCCCACCGCCAGGAAGTCCCCACGACTACCCCAGCTCGCAGGGAGCACTGTCCCAAAGTTAACATCACTCCTCTGACCACTTTCCAGAAGGTCACCTAACCCCACACACAACAGACCTCAGCTAGTAGGGCCCTTGGAGATCTTCTGACCACTTACTCAAAGTGCATTTATTGAGCACAGCTGCAGACCAAGGAATCTGTGACTGATAAGGTCCCCACCCTCATTATTTGATAAGGGAAACCAGGCTTAAAGGAGCAGACGCTCTTTTTCAAATCTCACTCGCCCACCAAAGGCATTGCATATTCTGCCTTTCTTTCCTGGGGGCAGCGTAGCCTGGAGCAGTTGCCACGTCAGTTGGGGTATCACCACAGCCCCCAGCTGCCCTTAACCTTCCCAACCAGAACGTGAGCAGTGCAGCTCAGGGTCCGAAGTGTGGGCCCGGAGTGAGAAGGACCTGGGTCCAATCCTAGCTCCTCTCCTTCCTATTTCATGACCCCAGTCACCTGACTTCTGGACCTCAGTTTCCCCAACTGTAAAGGAGGATAAAGTCCTGAGCCTCCTGGGAGGGGAGTCAGTGGCATCAGGTACAGCGCGAAGTGCTGGCTCACGGTAGGGGCCACCCCACTCCTGGTCCCGGGAAACGTGCCAGGCCTGTCCCCACAGTCTCAGCAGCCACTTCCCCCTTCAAGGGCCAAGTCTCTAGTCTCATCAGCATCTTACACAACTGACCACTTCCTCCTCCTGGGAAAGCCGCTTGGACATCACACTGCACTCTGCACAGTTTCTTCTGCTTTTCTGGCCTCCTTCTTGGTCAACCCAACCTTTTAATACCGGGGACCTGGCTTCTGTTTTCCACTTCAATTCTCATCTTGCATAACCTCATGCCATGGATCGACAGGCCAACAAGTTCTAAATTCCTCCCATCAGCCCCAACCTTTCCTACGAGCCCCGGGCTGGGACATCTAACGTGGGCTCCACTCAGGACACCTACACCTCAGTGTCCCCCGCCGAGTCCTTGATCCATGCCCCCCACATCCTTAGTAAATGCCAGCATCACATCTGATTACTAAGGCCTCAACCCCCAAATCAATGGCAGAAGCTATCCTTGACCTCTCTTGCCCTCTTCTCCAATCCTGTCCTGTCTCCACCCGCCTCCGCTCGTCTCTCTACTCCACCATCGCAGCCTAAGCCACGATCACCTTTCACTACTGACTGCAGCCGTTTCCATACCCTGCACCTTCTCCGTCTTTCTCCCCAACCACTCTCCCCCGCATCCCGCAGCCTGGAGAGAGGGCTAAGGCACAGAAGCAGCCCAGCAGCCCTCGGGCGAACCCCAACTCCTCAGAAGGCCCCCAGAAACGCCTCCCACCATCTGGCTTCCGAAGACGGCTGCAGCCTTCCTCTCCAGCTGCCACCTGGGCGCCCAGCACGCTGGCCCGGCGGTGTGTCTGTAACACACGTCAGCCCGCGCCCTTTGCGCCAGCTGTTCCCTGTGCCTGCAACACTGTTCCCACCTCTGCGCGGACTCCCCCGGGGCCCTCCTCATCCTCCTCCGCACACACCTCCACCCCCCCGGCGGTTCCCGGTTTGCCCACGAGTGTTCCGCCGGCCTCCCACCCGCCCAGCGGGCTGCAGGCGGCTTCCCGCGGGCTCCAGGCCACCCCGCGGGGCCCAGGAAAGGCCGGGGCAGCGCGCACAGAGCGGCCCGCGAGGGCGCGCGCAGCCCGGGCCCCTCCGCGCGGGGCAGGCGCCCAGGCGCGCCCCGCAGAGCCCGCCGGCCCGGCTCCCCCTCCCGCCCCGGGAGCGCGCGGAGGCCGGCGGCGCGCCCACTCACCGCGGCCCGGCGCTCCCAGCCGCGATCCTCCTGCCGGAAGTGCGAGGCCGGCGATGCGCGGTCGGAGGAACATTTCCGCCCGAAGCCACTGGGGGGCGGGGCGTCTGCCGCGGGGGCGGGGCGGGCCTGGGAGCTGGGTTCGCTCTCCGGTCCGCAGATGCCCAGCGTCGCCTGCCCTCCCGGGGGAGCATCCCCGCCACCCCTTCCGCAACCCAGCGCCCCCCGGCACCCCCTCGTACTGGGACCCTCGGGGCCTCGCTCTGGAGCCTCCGTGTCTGCGGCAGAGCTGGGCACCCAGGAAAGTCACCTATTGACTTCCATTGAGCCAACTGTTTACCTTATTCCAAACCAGTGCCGGGCGATCGTGGAAGGAACCGCAGAGACAACGCTCACGGGCTTTTTCTTCTGGTTGCACAAGCCAGCTGGGGAGTGCTAGGTCAGGGCACTACACTTTAGAGCTTAGAAGGTCCATGGAAGGTAGTAAATAATAAACGTTTGTGAACCATTTTCTGTGTGCCCGAAACTTTACAAGAATGATCCCCATTTCAATAGGCTGAGGAAGGGGAGACAGAGGACAACCTGGTGGGGAAAGTAGCCAAGGATGCAGTGGTCCCCAAAACGCCAGCGGCAGAGTTTAGACCATCTCGCAGGATGGGTTAGAAGGGGCAGAGCCAGCAGAGCAGACAGAGATCTATTAGGACAGAGCAGGGTAGGATTGAAGACAGGCCCACTTTGGGGCATTTTGTCCCCCTATGATTCCAATCCCCTCCTGGGCTCTGGCTCTAAGTCTGGCTGCAAACATGGATCCTTGCAAGTGACTCAGCTGGGTTCCCTGGCTGCTCTGAACAGAAGGTTCAAGGCCAGAGTGTAAGCAGTTTATTATGCAAACCGCTGCTGCCCTCACCACCAGCAGCTGGCATTTCACAGGCATTAGTTCGCTCTGGGCTTAATCACTTACAATGGCACTCATCGCTGCCCACGGTCTTGGCTTTCTTCGGTCCTCCGGGCCTGTACTGCGTGCATTTCTGTGCGGTTTGAGTGAGCTTGTCCTCGCCCCCTTCTCTCTCAGAGGCAAAAGTATCTATTTTCATCACGGCCCTCCTTCCAGCCTCCCTACTAGCAAGGCTGAGGCTTGGAGCAACAGCCTGAAGCGCCACCTGGAAGGCTGGGCACTAAGCGTGGCGACACACGGGTGAGGAACGTGTTTTCTCTGTAAGGTACAAGCACTCCAACTGCTCCCTGGCTGTGTCCCCGGCCACAGGAGGAGGAGGGAGGACGTGTTCACGGGGGTGTGCAGTGTCTTTCCCCGATGTACTCAGCAGGCCCAAGCAGAAAACACTGTGTCCTGGTGTGACAATCTGTGAGCATCTTTACCCAGCAGGTACCGTGTGCAGGGCGGGGGGGGGGGGGGGGGGCAGGGTGGCTGAAGAGAAAGGGGCCCTGGGAAGGTGGCTGAGGACTCCGGCTGGCACTGTCTCAAGTCCCCCAGACACAATGGAATGGAATGAAGGCTTGTCAAGGTGAAAGTTCCCTTGGGCAGGAAGCCAGTAACAGAGAAAGAGCTGTTAGTAGGAAGTAGGAACCACAGTCGGTACATGAAAGAGTATTTATTGAAAACATGTTACTGACAGGAAGCTCCTGGCTGCTCTCAGGTTACAATCTTGGCTCACAACTGGAAGTGTTACTTTTTTTTTTTTTTTTCTTCCAATTTTATAATCCCTCAAGCATTCCATCCTAGGATAGGTAGATCTTATATAAATATATATACACGTCTGTATAAGTATGGCCTATAGTAAAGAAAATATATAGTACACTCTTCATTGGGTAGTACCTACCGTGCCAGGCTACCAAAACGGAATGCCACTGTTCACGTATGTCCAAGGAGAGAGGCTGTGCGTGTGGTCTACACGTGCGGCAGCACCAGGGAAAGCCGCTGGCACAGCGGTGGCCTCCAGCTAGCTCCCTGAAGTCATGGCCAATGGCAGGGACCACAGCACTGAGATGGGCAGGAAGGGAAGCCCAACTTGCCGAGGTCTGGAAGGCCGAAGGAAAGCCTCCTGGAGGGCTGCGCTTCGGGTTGGGTGGGCGGTCTTCCCCGGAGGAAGGGAAAGATGTAAGTATGGAGAGGGGAGTGGACTCTAGTGACCTCACCGCAGGCTCCTTGCAGAGTTCCTGGAGACTAACAGGGTGGGACTCAGCCTCGATGTCTCTGACTAGCCAGGATGGGAGATTGTGAGCTGGTAGGGAGGCATTTCCATCTGCCCAGACAATTAATTACGTGAACAAGAAAGGCCTGGTAGATCCCGAGAGGAGGAGTCAGTGTCGAGCCTCAGCAGCCAGCCGCATGGTGGCCCTGTCTGAGGCCGGAGTGAGCCCTCACAAAGACGACAAAAGCAAGGGCAAGGCCTCTACTTAGATCTGAGACAGGCACAGGGTCACCCAAAGGCAGTCTCTGCAGGGCTCCCAACATGCCTAGCACTGTCCTCTGCAGCCGCCTTTCCTGGACCAGCTCTTGCCCACATGGGAGCCAGCTGACCACGGGAGAGTAGGCTCAGGAAGAAAAGGTGAGTGGCTGTTGTTATCCAGCTCAGAAAGCAATTTCTTGGCCTGAAGGGCAAGGGCATTTGCTGTTCGATCCTCATGGCCCAAAGCCAGGCTCCACAGTGATGGGAGGGCAGAGCACCTGCCTTCATGTCTCAGAGTGGATGGGGACCAAGAGGAAGCTCTGGGTGGTCAGAGGTGGGTTGGTGGAATGGTTGGCATTTACTGGCCACCACAGTCCCTATGGATTCTGTACAAGCAAAAGACAAGGCACCAGACTGTGAGTGTTTCTCCTGGGTCCCAAATGCCTTCCTGGGTGCCGTCGCCGCTGGCTCGGGCTCAGCCATAGTGATACACAAAGTCGTAGCTGCTGGGCTCCTTGGGCACCGGTGGGGGCGCTTCCGGGATCTGGACGTTCTCCAGGTCCAGGAGCCGCAGCTTCATCTCCATGCTCAGCAGGGTGTCCAGGTCACTCTTGGTCAGCTCGCTGGACATGTCCTTCCCCAGAAGGGCACTGAGGCCATCAATCCAGATGCAGTACTGGGGGAGCAAGTTGCAGAACATCAGAAGGTGGCCCCTGGACAGCAGGAGTCCTGCCACGGTCCTTTTCCTAGGACTCACTCTGGTCTCCTTTTGAACTAGTAAGCATAGACAAAACTGACTTAGGATAATAGCAAAGGTAAATTGGGAGCTGCTCACGCTCTCAAAAGACCTTTCGTTTTGTTTGTTTGTTTTTCAATGTCTCCCCATTCACAATCAGACCAGGCAGAGGGCCTGAGCTGAGGTGTATATGGGTGGGTTTACTCTGCCTCCTATTTCTGTACAGTCGGTGTAAGCACACAGCCTGTGGTAAGCACCAGGGGCCTGACCTTTTGGTTTTTAGAGAGATTGACATTTAAACTCCCTAAGATAATATAAAATATGACTTTAAGAAATACAATTAGAGAACACAGCAAAACCAGACCTGAGACTGGGGCAGCAAGTACCTGGAAATGTCCTTGAAATTAGTAATGGGGAGGGAAGACTACAAATTAGGTGACAAGAACAGGACACAAAAGAAACCACTGTGGGACTCACTTTTGTTTTTTAAAAAGTAAACAAAAACAACTTTCCCCGCCCCCCAGTCAATAAATGTTGAAATTGAGTACTAGAGAAATGGCACTGGAGGGTCTCACAGCGAGGGACAGAGAGTTCTCAGCCCTCCCAGTCCTCCTGCTCCATCTTTCTCCATGCCTTTGCTCCCTGCCTCCCTCCCCACCTGCTAGTTCACTTCCTCCCAATAAAGCTCTGTTGGCAGCTCAGGTCCCTCCTAACGGTATCCTCCTCCCGCCTTCAGCTTCCTCTGATGGCTCAGAGCTCACCAGACCGTGTGGTCTCAACCGCAGTGACTCAGGTAACATCTAGTATCTTCCAGGGCTGCAACTGAAACTGCAAGCTGGGTCACCAGGACCAGAACCACCTGGCTTCAAAGCCCAAGCCAGACCCACTGCATATGGCCAGGAGCCCTGAGGAGGGGCATGTGTTAGGTTCCCTAGAAACTGAAAAGAGGAAACTTTTCCTAGTCCCAGCAAATAAGTTAGCCCTAGTTGGCCCTGTCTTGCTAATGACAACCTGCAGCTACCACTGAAGAGAGACCTGGAGGGCCCAGCTCAGGGGAAAAGGAACCCGGGTGGCAGACCCTGTGTCAAACAGCCTTCACGACAGGCGACTGCTTTAGGGGGGACAGGACATTCCTGTTGTGCCCGCTTCTCCCCTCTGGCTGAAGAATCGCAGAGGGCTGGGATGTGCAAGGCAGCGCCATACCACTCACCTCATACTTATTAGGCGCAATGAAGTTTAAGGTCTCATCGGGGTCATAGAGGATGGAGAAAGCCAACTCCAACACCTCCTGAAGGAGAAAGGTTTCAGTTAGTGGCACAAACAGGTGAGCAAGGACAGTTCTGGGGAAGGCCTGGGACACCAAGATCTTGGCCAAAGTCCTTGTGAGTTGGCACCATCACCAAATGTGCTGAGTCATATGTGATGCCATCCAACACACAAATGGCTGGAGATGGGGCCCCCAGGGTGACTGATCAACCTGAACTCATCCTCCCCACCCAAGTCATGCCTACAATGAGGTGATACTTTAAAGATTGGAGGAAAGTTATTACTTAATACTCAGAAGCTTCAAAATGTCAGAGCCCATGACTATGTATTACCTTAAATATGTATCTTGGTAATTAAACTGAAAGGTGTTAACAGTTTAAACCCACAACAATGAAAACAAGTTGTGGCCAAAGATGGGAGAAATGTTAGCATCAACAACATAACTAATGAGTTAAAAAAAAATAGAATTTGCTTAAACCCTGAGTTCATAATAATACTGGAAAATAAACAAGACACCTATACATAATTGGTCATTGTTGGGTGGTATCAGGGAACTAACTCTAGGTGCACAATAGGAAAGAATTCAGCATTTATCCTCCTTTCTTACATAAACGGTACCACTGGGAAACCAACTGTAGGTGACAGCAAGTATCTCTTTAGAGAAGTAGTTCAGCTAATAAATGAAAAGGGCGGGCTGCATTCGAATATCACTAGCTATCAAGCCTATTTACTAGCGGAAGGAGGCATGAGCATTTGGGGAACTGACACCACAAAAAGAGAGACAGCCACATGGTATGTGTCTCTGATAGAACATGAAACCCTCTAGGAAATAGTCTTATTAAAAAAAAAAAAAAAAAAGGTCACACCTGAAGTGGATCAAGCCTCTACATCTCTCCCTCACTGTACAGATCTGGGACAGAGGAGCAAGTTAAACTGCACCGTGGGGAGACAGTCAGCAAATCTCAGACTCTGGGAAACTACCAAACAAGCAACCTGGTTCCTCCAACTAATAAAGTGCAAAGAGAAATAAAGATGGGAAGATGGAGGGGGGCTTATGAATTAAGAAATGTAAAAGGCGCTCACTTCAGCAGCACATATACCGAAACTGGAACGATACAGGGGAGATTAGCATGGCCCCTGTGCAAGAATGATACGCAAATATGTGAAGCGTTTCACATTTAAAAAAACCACAAAACTTAAAAGACTAATCATGAAGTGTGGCCTCTCACTTAGCAAACAAAATGAGATGTTTGTATGTCTATACGTATCGTATTTGCATATTTATACAGAGAAATGTTTATAAAACAATTAATAGAAGTCCAAACATCAATAGAAGAGTTGACATTAAACAACAATTTTTATTTCTTTTTAAATGTGATAATGCTATTGGGATTATGTTAAAGGAGCCCCATAATCTAGGGATACATTCTATATACTGACAGATAGAATGATGTGACACTTGGGGTTTTCTTCAAAGTAACAGAGGGGAGGAAAGTAGACAGTACTTTGCCATGACTGTGAGGCTGGGTGATGCATATATGGGGGTTCTATCTGTTTTTCTGTATGTTCAAAATTATTCTTAATAAAACATTCAGAATTAGAGAGACAGAATGCGGGCGAGAGCATGCACCTGAGAGACCGCTACCACCGCCTGCACCAGGAATCCCTGTGACAGCAGCTCAGACTCGGGACTGCCTCTCCACTCACCTTGTTCTGTTTCAGAGCGCTTTTCTCTTTCATGTGGGGGCAATCTTTCCCAGTGACAATGGCCTTGATGTCTGCAACAGGAACTGATCAATGGAGGGAATTAGTTTCTGGGAGCTTCATGGTGCAAGTTGGTCCTTGCTTCGGTGCTCGAAGGAAAGCCTCCCCCAGACTCACAGAGCTGTATCAGCTCAGGGTGAGTGGCCTGGTATTGTTCCCCCTCTGGGGTCGCTGCCCATGAACCATGGCCTGCAGGGCTGTGTCAAATCTGACTGGGCTTTTGGATCGTTTCCCCAAGGCATGGGGCCTCTGTCATGTCACAGAAATGATGGTGACACCACCACCACAGCAAACAGCAGTGGCGGCAGCTAACAGTTTCACCTGCTACTGGTTCTAACTGCTTTACATAGACTAGGCATTCCATCCTCTTATGAGGGAGATATGGTTATTATTCTGACAGAAGAAAAAAAGGCAGAGAGGAGAATGAACTCGAAATTGATTTGAATTAATCAGAATCAGAATTAGTGGCAAAGCCAGGATTTGAATCCAAGTAGTCTGCTCTTAACCACCGCCTTTCAACTTTGTTTTGTATCACCCTTTACAGTCTGCAAAGCCCATTCCCCTCTGTGATCTCACTGAATTCTCCAAACAGCCCTGTGAGGGAGGCAGACATGCCCTCTGACAGATAAGCAGAGAGAGACATGTGGCCCAAGACCAGATAGTCAGCTTGAAACAGCCAGGATTAGAACTCTCCTAGATTGAGTCCAGCTACTAGGTCAGAGCAATAGAGAAATGAACCTACTTTTCTCCTGCAGGGATTCAAATGTCACCTCCCCTTGAGGGTTGTCATCCAAGTCACCGTAGTGCAGGACCTTGTGGTTCAGTGCGAGGCGGCAGTACCAGAAACGCTCTGGAACACAAGGGAAGCCAAACAGGTGAGCAAGGACAGTTGTGGGGAAGGCCTGAGCACACACAGGATGCTGTGTTCCCTGCCTGCTCCCTTCAGGCTCCCTCCCCGGGCAGTGGCTCTGGGCAGTAAGGACCACACAGCGCCCCAGGCCCCTGTCACCTTGCCTTCGGCGATTCCCAATCTTCCGGAAGCTGCTGCCCTCACAGAGCCGGTTCAGACGCTGCTGCTTGATCAGCTCAAGAATCTCGGGCTGGATCTTCTCCCTCAGCTCCCTGAGGTGGCCACGTACCGGAAAAAGGAAGGTCACAGCGAGCTTTGGAAGGACGGCGGAGTGGGGCTGGGTTCCCCCACCTGGCCCCCTACAGGATGGTACTTACACAATTGGCGGCGACTGGAAGTCATCCTGGCTCATCCTTTCGGACTGGCGCAGCCTCAGAATCTCAGAGTAGCTCAGGCTGCGCAGTTTGCTCTTGAACTGATCCAAAGAGTTGGGTTTGGAGGGCAGAGCACGAGTGATCTGCTCTCGGACAACCTGCATAACCTACAGGGGAAGGAAGAAGGCAGCCAGCTCGCCCCTGCTCTGACACCCAGACAAGCTGCCTCTGGCACCAAGGGTTGGCCCGAGCCTGGACCTTGAGCACAGCAGGTCTACAGATGTGTGTTGGGGAACAGAGCACCGACGTACTAAGAACATCTCCTTGGGTGGTTATTTAGGAGAAATGACTGATTGTGACAAATGTCTTATTTCTCATACATTTCGATTAGTCAACCTTGTGGAATGAGCATAGGTTTTTGGAGTCTGAGAGGAATGGATTCAGATCTCAACTCTGTCCCTTCATCTGTTCCTTGAATAAATTACTTAACCATACTCTCCTTACACTTCAAAGGGACAGAGAAAGACATATCTTCTGATATGTGCTGCCTGAAGGATTATGAGATGCTATATGGAGGCACAGTGCCTGGTGCACTGTGGTACGTTCAAAAAAAGGCGTTACTTCCCCTAGAACAACAGTTAAAGGAAAAACAGAGTATCACACTGCACATCCGGTCAGCTCTCCATCAGGGAAGAAAAATCTACAGGAAAAAAGGACTACAGTGAAACTCATAAAAAATGGTCATCACTGGGTGGTGAAATTACAGCAAACACTTCCTTCTTTATACTTCCCAAACTTTTTACAATGAGGTGATCAGCTTCAAAACACTCAAGTCTAGAGAGTACCAGCTTTTGAGGGCCCTGTGTGCTCCTCCGAGACAGTCACTCAGAAAGCACGGAGGAATGACTTCTGAGTAGGTATCCATGACCTGCATATTATGCCAATCCACCTCTCCCTGATGCTTCCAATGCACAAAACAGCAATAGTGCCTGCACATAAGTGCTCAGCAAACCACAGCTATTATTGTGCTTATCCTCCTGGCTCCTAAGCAAGACAGGAGGGGTGAGTACTGCTCCACGGGCAGCTGAGGGGCCAGGGCACCAAGGGGAAGACATCTGCTCAAGATGACAGAGGAAGCACAACCAGAGGGGACCATGCCTCAGTCTTGTAATGTGTTGTTGCAGACGAGGCTGGTTTTCCAGTTCAGGGATTTCTCCAACTCTGGTCAGCTGTCACAGGTGATGGTCTCAGCCCAGGGACCCAGAGCTCTGCGACACTGACCTTGTTGAAGTCCTCGGCTGTTGCCCTCATCTCCTTCCAGGTCTTGTTCAGCAGTTGGATGCAGATTCCGAAGAGCTCCTCAAAGGCTCGGTCGTGGGTAAAGAACATGGGGTGATAGTCATTGCGCCCTTCGTTTGCTATGGGAGAAAAGAGGCAGGAAAGGGATGAGCTGGATGCTCATGTCAGGAGCTTTGGTTCCTCTGCACCAAAGTCCTGAAGAACAAAACCAAGACGAGGACCACGGCAAGTGACGAGTGTAGGATGGGCCTTTCCCAATTCCCGAGCCTTCTTCTCCAGGGCACTTGCTCTTGGTCCGCCTCTGCCCTGTGACACTCAGCCAGTCCTTGTACCTGGGAGTGGATGGTGGCATAGCTCTTGAACATGTTCAAACTGCCAGCTTGAACAAAGCAATACCCAAGACTCCCATTAACAAGGATAAGCTGATCACAGCTCACTCAGCCCCCAATTACAGGGCTGCTGTACAGACTTACGTAGTTCCCCAACCTGGAGGATTTCACAGAGCATTTTGGTAAGCTCAATCGCACTGCGGCCAAAGGGGCATTCATGTTTGTCTTCGCGGCTGCTGTTCTCCAGGACGATCTGGGGAGGAGAGGAAAAGGAGGTGAGGGAGGAGAGGACTAGGGAGGTGGGGGAGGGAGGCCAGAGATGAGGTACCAGGACTGAGAAAGCTGCCCCAGCCTTTACCCGGATATAGGTGTCCTGGTGGACTTTAGCCAAGTACAGCATGTTGTCCAAGGCCAGCATTCCAGGAGGAGTCTGCGTGAAGTCCATTGCTGGGTTGATATGGTTCTGGAGGAAGAAGAAACTGATGTAAGACTTGGCAGTCTTTCTGTGCGCAGTGTCACCTGAGCGGAAGCCCTTGCCCCTCATCTGAATGCTGCCAGCACTGCAGACCTACATCTACTGTAGCTCTTTCCTCAGCCGTCGCTACTATGAGACTGCGAGCCCTTGACTCCTGGGCTGACTCACCTTGTAACCCCAGCGTATAGCACACTGCTGGGCACTGAGTAGGCGCATAATAAATATTTAAATGAATTAACTCCATCCTAAAGCTGATCCTATCATAAAATACCCCACGCCTGCTTTTCAAAGAATCTCGCTGCTGTGGTTAGAGGTCTCCGCTCCATCCATATGGCTGACCGGCTGGCCCTGCCTACAGATGCCTTTGTTTCACAGGCCAAATGCTGCACATAAACTGTGATTCTGCCACTGCATAAGCAAGCTGAGGATCAAGGCCCTCCAGCTTCTCAGTGTCATCTAGTCCAAGGCCACCGTTACGAAGCAGGGATGCCCAGGACTCACTTGGGTGGGCCCTCTGACTTCCTGTCAGAGCAGAAGGCCTGCTAAGGTCTGTGCTTTGGGAAACTTACAGTAAATCCCAGCATTTTGTAGTCCTTGGTATACATGGCTTTGCGTTTTTCAGTCCCACTCCCAGGGACATTGCTCGAGTCAGACTCTGCATCAAATGCAATCCTCCTCAATTCGAATATAATGTCTCTCTGAGCCTGAAGTGAAACAGACAGCCAGCAGGTGAATCAGCTAACCAAGGGAAGCAAGGGAAAGAAAGAGTGATGGGGCTTGGGCAGAACTCTGGCCCCGATGGATCTCTGAAGAGGTAGCACCTCTCCCTTAGCAGGACAGAGGTGGGCTTGGTGCAGAGGGTCACCAGCAGGAAGAGGACATGGGGAGGCACACAGCTGGATTTCTCAGAGCAGACAAACCGTTTGTGCAGACACATCTTAGCAAGGTCCCTGGCACACAGCAGGCGCTCAGTACACAGCCTGAGCGTGGAGTGCAGCACATCAAACAGCACACAGCGTAAGCCAGGGAAGCTCTGCCCCACTTAGCGCCTACCTGGTCATTGGGGTCCATCTTGGTCATCATCCTTTCTTCCAGAAGGTTAAAGGTCAGGACTTGTAGGACATACAATTGATGGGCCATCTCAGTTTTGATCGGGCGGTTCCCTCGGATCACATGCTGGAAAAAGCACAGGCAGGGAGCAGGTGGCTCAACTGATTTTCTTTTACTGAAGAGTCACATCCATGCTATGCTAGTGAAAAAGAAAGTACACTGGGCAAGGAAGAGGGCTTTCCTCCCACACACAAGGACTTTGTGTTCTCGAAGGGGATGGACATGAATAGGCTTGATTCAGGCAGAGAGGATTCACTGCAGGCCAGAAGGCACGATCCTCTTCTCTTACCCCGCTAAGACGATGACACGGGAGCTCAGCGGCTGGACCTTATTCCAATCAGGTAAGTAATTACTGGTTATAATCAGTAAGTAATTACTAGTTTTAATTTGAACTAGCCACATTTTAAGTGTTCAACAGCCACATGTGGCTAGTGGCTACCAAACTGGACTGCAGGTCTAAAGAGATCCAAGACAATCCAAGACGATAGCTAACGGGCATGGAGGAAGATCTGCTTGTGGAATTGGACAGTACGGTTCTTTGTTTTCCCTTAGAAAAATAAAAGCCTCACTACTTGGTGAAGATGGAGTCACCAATTAGAGAGGCTTTAGAAAAGATCATTTTCTTTAAGTGACATGGAAACACCTACATAAAGGGGGGCATCTAATGCTCTCGTCCAACCCTCCTCACTCACTCCTCCCTCCTTTGTCTCCTACAACTGTCCCTCTTTTCTCTCCCCTCCCTGTGTTGCGTTCCCACCATGTCCCCCTCCCTCCTCTAACTTGTTCTGCCTGCTCTCCTTCCATGGCCCTGGGCCCCCCTCAGCTCATCACCTCCTCCCTCTGTCCCTCTGATGCCTACCCCTCTCCTATTCTCACGTTCTGTCTTTTCCCACTTGCTCCAGGCTGAGCAATGCTGGTTATGTTCTTGTCTCAAGCTATCCTGTTCTCACTCCAAGAGCCTGCTCTTTCCTGCATGCTTCCTGTATTTCTTGCTCCCCCACTTTATCTCACTACCATCTTGAATCCTGTCACTCGGCCAAATAAGACTCCTGTCCAGTTTCCCACATGAACCACCTGTATCCTTTGTGTTCTCTTACTCAGTCTAGGTGTGTCTCTAGGGGCCTGTGCTGTCCAATGTGACAGCCTCTGGTCATATGGGGCTACTTGCATTTAAGTCACTTACAATGAATTTAAATTGAAAATTCAGGTCCTCATTAGCACTAGACACATTTTAAGCTCACCAGGCACATGTGGCTAGTGCTGCCACCCAATGGTAGGGTAGATATGGGAACATTTCCATTATCACAGAAAGTTCTACCAGACAGCTCTATAGAGCTTCTAATTCTAGATCAGTGTCTTTTTTGAGCTCCCTCTAACTTCAGATCAGCTCTCTAGGGCCGGCTCAGCTAGAGATAACTAAGTTTGCCACTAGCCATGTGCGGCTATTGAACATTGGAAATGCGGCTAGTCCAGACTGAGACGTGCTGTCAATGAAGGCACACCAGACCTCAGAACCTTTGTATGTGAAAACAAAATGTACAGTATCTCATTAATGATTTTCCTATCTATTATATGTTGGAATCATAGTGGTTTAGATAAACTGGGTTAAATGAAATGTTATTGAAATTAATTTCCTCCATTTCTTTTTTAACATTGCTGCTAGAACATCTATAATAATAAAAGTGTAATATGCAAATCAACCGAACAGCTAAACAGCTGAACGACCATCCAGACAGACTTCTGGACAAAGCCAGAATGGATTCAGATGAACCCATTTCATGCATCGGGCCTCTAGTAGCAAATAAAATAAGTGGCCCCTATATTTTCACTGGATGGCGCTGCTAGGCCTTGTCTCTCCACCATGAGATGCCAGAATGCTTTTCCTTCCTGTCTCTTTCTTTCTCTAGGTCTGCACAGCCCAAACAATAACCACAAGCCATATTTAAACTAAATTTTTTTAAAAAAGATAAATTAAGTTCCCTAGTCAGACAGGTTACATTTAAAGTGCTCAACAGGCATGTGTGGCTAGTGGCTACCATTTCGGACAGCACTTCCACAGCTGCAGACATTTCTACTGGACAAAGCTGCCCTGCTCTCTTGCTAGAGGGTATGCTAATGCCCTCATCCCTCCCCTCTTTCCCTTTTAAGGGTAAGACTGAACTTACCCTTAGTTCAGTCTCAGTGTCTGTCTCCATCTCCCCAAGCTTACGTTTTCATTCTCTGCTCTCCCCCTAGGCTTCCTTTTCCCCTCTTCCCACAGACTCTCTTTGCCCAGGCTCTTTCTCTGTCACTTTCCTGCTGTCCCACTGACATCTCTTCTTTGCCCCAGTGTGAGCCTCTTCCTTTCTCTATGTTGCCCCACTCTGCCACTCCAATTTCTCACCACCTGTCTATCCCTACTCTTTCCACCTCACCTCTCCAGAACTCATCAACCACTTTAAAGAGAGGTTTAAAGTCAATGTGATATTGGTTTTCATTCATTTAACCCCCCTTTCTTAAACTTAGACACATCATTGTGGGAAAGTAACTACTCTATCCACCAATGGCTTAAAGGAGGACAGCTCCAGTTGGGTTTTACCTGACATCTTATTTGCCGTCAGATACTTCCAGGCCTATGTTCTTCGGCTGGACTCAGTTAACCTCCTGGACTTACTAGTAAGTGAGCATGCATACCATTTCCTAGCAGACTGTCTTAAGTCTTGAGCCCTGACACTGAACTGCCTTCTTATTGGAATCTTAAGCTTGTCATAACCTCATTCAAGAAAATAAAGTCTCAAAATTCATTAAATTTCCCTCACAAGAACATGCTTGCTCCCACACACGAAGAGGAATGTGGATGAGAGGGCGTGGGCACAGGGTGCTCTCTGTCACTTGCAGGCAGAGTGCGTGAGCATTTGCTCAGGCCCCTCCTGCAGGCTGCCCGTGGGCTGTGACCAGGGAATGGCCAATAGGCAAGAGCTAGTTCTGCTTAGTGAAGTCTGACAGGCTTCGCATGTTTAGACCAGCTGATCACTGGACTTCACAGATACTCGGGGCTTACTTCTTGAATTCTGTCAGCTGTTCTTTCTTGTTCACAAGGAACTGCCAATATAAGCACAGCGCTTACCTCATGCCAGGCACCCTGCTAAGCACTGTGTATCCGTTAGCTCATTTAGTTCTCACATCCAGAGGAGCAAATCGAAGCCCACAGAAGTTAAGTGAATTACTCAAGATCAAAGATTTGGTTGATGGCAGAGTCGGTGCTGGTGACTCCAAAGTTCATGTTCAGAATTAGTAAGTCCTTCATATTTGACTCTGAGTTTCTTCACTGTGCCCCCCCTAGTTCTCCCTTGTTTTTGACAACTGATAAAATGGCCACCTTTTAATGTAGAACCCTGGCTCTTTACCCGACCCCACTGTCCCCTCTTCCCACCTCGGTTCCCTCCCACCCCACTTCACCACCCTGGTAATAAGGAATTAGACCTCTTTCCAGAAGCCTCCCCCTCCCCACCACCTCCTACTCCACTTTCCTCCCTAACACACCCCTCAGGAAACACAGATTTTGGAGTGTGATCTTTCTAAAATGCTAGTCTGGCTATTTCGTGATTCTGGTTAAATCCCCTCAACTGCACTTAGAAAAAAGACTAAGACCCTACTTGGTCTGGTCTTTGCTTCCTCTGCAGTCTCACCACACATCTGCTCCTTGCTTCACCCTCTACCCATCACACACTCCGTCTGCCTCCGGGCCCCCAACGCCCCCAATCCTTTTCCCTTTGGTCCTCAGCCTTCCCTGACGACGGTCCTCTGAAGGCTTCCTGACACCTCTCCTTGCACACAGGACGGACTGCCCTCCTCTGAAATCTCCCAGACCACGAATCTCTACGAAGCCTGGCTACAAGGTGCCATGACCATTCGTCTTTCCTGCTGGACTGGAAGTTCTTCTAGAGGAAACACACTGTCTTAGACATCCCTGCTGGTGCCCCACACACTCAGGTTTATGACCCGAGTTAAATCAATGAGTTACCTTCCTTCTTTTGTGCCTATTTTAACACATTCCCTCTAGACAAACAAGTTTGGATCTGCCAGCCAACAAACAGTACAGCTGGCCTCAGTGTCTCCTTTGAGGCTCTGCAATCCCTGGTGGGCCAGCGGCCTCCTGGAGACAACTCTGCCCATAGAGGATTACAAAGAAAGCTTTTCACCTTGAGAGTGTTTAGTGCCTGTTGGTAAGTTCTCTCTGAATGCCCAACTCACTGAATAGTAATTTCAACAATAATACAACTATAGTAATGGTAATAATTGTTATTAATAGTAACTAAACAATAGTAACAAAATACAGCTTGTCTCAGAAACTTACATTTAGGATTATGGACCGAAGGTGCTTCTGTGCAAATGCATTGGCCATGTCCTAGTGAGAAAATAAGAAATATGAGGCAAGGTGGCAGGACACAGCTGTGACAGCCATAGAGGAAGGTGATGTCACAGCTCTGGGGCTTTTTCTGTCACAAATTTTTTCCTTTCAAATGAAAAGTGGACAAACAGAAAAAAATCCACGAACCATCAACTGTATCTTAGGCTCCAACAAATTCCCTCCCATTTTTCCTTTGTGAGTGCAAATAAACAAACAGGGTTTCTGGTCCCAATGGCACAATCCACACCATCTTCAAGGAGGGACGAAGACGCCTCAGACAAGACACGGTGTTACAAGGACGGTGGGGATGGACAGTGTAAACGGAGCACAGAGCAGCGCGATGGTCCCCAAGCTGAAGGCACTGTTCCAGGCAGACGCCCACTGCCTCTGCTGGAAGGGACTCCAGACCCAGGAAAGGGCTCTGGCCCGCCGCTCACCCAGAGGGATCTGGGTGGGGACCCTCTGAAATAGTGAGTAGTTCCCATTCATTCCTGACTGGTGGGGAGAATGTGTTGGGTGCTTTGGGGTAATTTTTCATAATAGGTGACTTTTTAAATTATATTTGGTTCTGATTTAACAGGAACACTTCATGTATTTAGTACACTCAGGAAAGGATCCTACTAAATTGAATCTTTCAGGGAGCGAAGCTTTAAGGGTCCTCTCAGAACCATTACTTTGACCATTCTTATGCAAATCTTTAAGAAATACAAGTCTATTTCAGAAGAGACTGCAATGATTATAATTTAATCATTGCCAAGGACTTGGCTTTATTAAGACCATCATTTATTTTTCTGGGTTGTGACACTAATACCCTTAAGGAGCTATTGAGATGTGAAGCTATTTTCTCCTAAACAAAATGGTCCCAGATTACCATGCTTTTAATTTCTCTGACAGCTTTTCATAATTCTTCTGTCTCTGCCTTCCAATGTCAGCCATCTCTTCTTATCATGTTAATTGGTATGACTTCACTTTCTAAACCGCTGCCTTAGTTTCATTTCATAGAGAATTCTAAGTCCATCGGCCTGAGGGAGCTGTCACACCTCTCCCATGGAGCAATGTTCTTGGAGCTCAAAGGCCTTTCTCTCATGCCTGGATTCCTGGCCAAATGCCAAGTGGCTGGTGCTGCCAGGAACATTGTTTTACTATGCTTGCCCTGAGCATACACACCACCTGGAGGAGAGGAGAGTGGCTTAGAAACTTCTTGGTAGCTATAGGAGGTCAGCTTGAGATTAGATCTCTCTGTGGACAACTAACAGTGGGAAAAGCCGGCAGTGGTCTACTGCTAGGACATTAAGCCCTTAGACTAAAAGCTTCTCTGTGGGGGAGCACTCATCCTCTTTCAGGTCCTTGTAGAGCTGACCTCCCTAAGCTCCCTCTTAGGAAAAATGAGCATCCAAATTCCCTCTTGTCAACTGTCCAAGCTTCTTCAAACGCCCACAGTCTAGGTAAACGGGGATTTACCTTGACACTTTGCTACATCAAGGTGGGGGATGATGTGTCACGGTATCATCTAGATGAAAGCCACAGGCTATTTCTGAATCGGATCTTCACTGGCCGAGCCACAGACCCATGTAAAGGCGAGCTACAAAGGAAAGACTGGGCCACATTCCCTGGGACAGGCATTGCCTTAATCCTGCATGTGGCTCTACTCTGCAGGATGTCTTCACATGTCCTGACAAATGAGGCTTAGGGCACACAACCTTTCTTGGTCCTGGAATTCCCCGAACATCTTCTTAGATCAGAGGTGGGACTCTTGCCCAGCTGAGACCTCCCCACCTGGATGAGAGCGGGGCCCTTTCCACAGAGCGGTGCTACTTACAGTGGCAGGCAGGTCTAGAGGATTAAGGTGCTTGTCCTGCCGGCAGAAGGCAAAAGCACAGAGAGAAGCAGATGGAAGAATGAGTTTTCAGTTTATGTTCAGAACAGGACTAGGAAGGAAGAGCTTAATGGAGCAAAGCCATCCACGACAGACAGGACAGACAGAAACACAGATGCCCCTGGTCTCCCACTAGAATCCACCAAGGGCTTGGAACCTGATCCCACATGAATTTCAACCTCCTGAGTCCAGGGTACTGACAGGCAACTAAAAAGTCTTTCTTTTGTACACCACTTGGGCTTTTACCAGAGAAATCTACAAAGTGTGTTGGAAGGGCCCCTAGAAAGACCTAGTTTTTCTAGCCCGGGGTTGCAGGCTCGGTCCCCAGTAAAGGCCTTTCAGGAGGCAGCCAAATCAATGATTCTCTCTCATCCTGATGTTTCTATCTTCCTCTTCCTTCCTCTATGAAATCAACGAAAATATAGTTTAAAAACTTATGTCTTTCCAAACAATGTTGGAAAGACCAAAGGGTCTTTTAATTGGGCCCTTTCATTTAACAGAAAGAGAAACTGAGGCCCAAAGAGGTTAAAGCATGTGTCCGGCCAGTGGCAGGCCCTGGACTCGTAGGTCAGAGCTTGTTCTCCTGCCCATCCGATTCCTGGTGTCCTCACTTGTGAGTCGGGGGTCTGGTTTACCTCATGACATCCTTGTGAAGTAAATGGGGAAGATGTGATAGCTCCCACATTACAGGTGAGGAAATCGGGGTTCAGAGAAATAGAGCTGTTTGCATACTGTCACACAGATAAATCACAGGAAAAGAAGGAAGTTTAGAACCTGGACCAGATGTTCCTTACATGAAACCTTGAGCTAAGTCCCTCTATTCTTGCTTCCTTAAGTAAGGCTCTCATTTGTTTCAATCTCCTTGGACTCAACAGTGATGCCCAGAGGGTCTCCTCTCCCTTCTTGAGCCTCTAACCTAGGGGGCGGCAAACTAAGGCCAAATTAGGCTTGTCAACTATTTGTGTAAATAAGGTCTTACTGCGAGACAGCCATATCATTCGTTCACCTACTGTCTGAAGTGGCTTTTGGCTACAGCAGTAAGGATGGAGAGTTGCCACATACAATATGGCCCTCAAAGCAAACGTATTTACCTTCTGCCCCTTTAGAGGAACTCGTCTGCAGGCCCCTGCTCTGACCTAAGACCCCAGCTCGTTTCCCTGCTCGTTGTCCCCTGGGTCTTCCTTAGCAAAGCCGCTCGATGGGCTCTGATCACAGAGGAACCAGAGGACTCTTGGGAAAATGGCTGGGATTCTGCTGTCTGCAGAGGGTGAGTGGGTGAGAATTCTCTTGGAAGAGCCCAGACGGAAAGCTTGGAAAGGCAGCCACAGACCTGTCGCTTGTCCTCAGGAGCCTTCAGAAAAAGTGCGTTAATCAGGGCAATGGCGTAGGTCTGAATTTCCTGGTTGGAGCTGTGTCAATGAAGAAAGAAGGCAGAGGAGATTAGAAGAATGACCAGCAAGATGATGCTCAGACATGGTTCATAAAATCACTCGCCAATTGTAATCAAATAATTAGCTGGGGCAAAGTCTCAAAAGCGGTTTTTAAAAGTATTTGTTCAAGAAATGCTAATTGGGCTTTTTGTTTGAATCAAAGCAGAGGATACAAAAATGATTGGTCCCTGTTCCCAGAGAGCTCAGTTTAAAATGGGAGACGGAGCCCTAGCTGGTTTGGTGCAGTGGGTAGAGTGTCAGCCTGAGGACCAAAGGGTCCCAGGTTCGATTCCGGTCACGGGCACATGCCGGGGTTCCGGCTCGGTCCCCAGGAAAGGCCTTTCAGGAGGCAGCCGATCAATGATTCTCTCTCATCCTGATGTTTCTATCTTCCTCTCCCTTCCTCTATGAAATCAATGAAAATATAGTTTAAAAACTTATAAACTGGGAGACAGATTAAAAAAAAAGTAGAGTATTTTATGTAAATACAATTGCCAAAGGTACAAACAGAGATTGTTTGGCCCATAGAGAAGAAAGCATCTCATTTTGTCTGGTACCACAGTGGTACAGGGAGATTGGGGAAAACTTCACTTTATCCGAAGGGACAAGAAGTGTCACAGAGGGTTTTACACGGGAGCATGACATGAGCAGACCTGAATTATGGGAGGAATCTGGCAGTAGTGTGGAAGAAGCAATGAATGGATGAACAAGCAGACCAGCAGCTTGGAATCCAAGCAAAGCAGGAGGAGGACGGGAAGACTTATGCAGACGGAGAGAGGAGAGAAGCGACAGGGCAGGGAGGCAGGCAGAGTCTCTTACACCTGGAGGTGAGAGATGAGCTGTCCCACAGTGATTTCCTCTGCTATCTTCTGGTACAAACTCTGGCTATTCAAGACCATGCTCTCCAGGATGGCCAGGGACCTCTGAAGGATGGACACGTCCACCATAGGCTGGCTCACGTACCCTGCAATCTGAAGGCAGAGAGGGACAAATCAGTTAGGAAGCCTGGGGCCCATGGGAGCTGGACGTCTTAGCCTTCTGCTGCTAGCCCCACAGACTCTCTCCTCTCAAGTGTGTTGACCACATTGGGCAGGTGTCCTGAGCTGGAGAGTGCTATCCGTTTATGGCTACCTAGGCCAATGCCAGGGATTCCCTAGGTATGGAAAACTCAATTTCAAATTACAGTATCCAGTCAACTGTATGTCCTCAAAATCTAAGGCTTAATACTTCATTTTCAAAATAAGGACTCGGGTGTGAAAAAGCTGAGTATAGAAAGCAGAGGATCTTACTGATACTAGGGTATTATTTCCAGGCGCTCTTCTCCTGACATGCACTGTGTCCCTATATACACACAGAACAGAGAGACTTGGAGAGGTAAACAGGATCTCAAAGTCTTGTCATTAATCCTCCTCAATCCCCACATGGCCAGGTCACTTTTGTCAAAACAGTGTTAGCACTGGGAGGTTCCCAAAGTCCCAAGACAATGGCAAGTCAGGACATGTTATTCACTGATTTTAGTTCAGTTTTTTGAGTTGATGCTGTCCCTTCTTGTAAAAGAAAGGAGGGCAAAACTAGAAGTCTTCTCTTTCACTGACTGAGTTCAATCTGACAGTCCAAACAGGCTACCTGGCAGGTTTGTAAAAAGAAGGCAGACTTATAAATATAAGGCAAATGAAATGAACACTTTTTATCAAAGAGAAGGGAAAGTCAGAAAGCAGGTCAAAAGACTCAAGGATGGCACTGGCTGATGCTGGTGCTCTCCCAAGTCTCACCAATACTCCAGTGCCACTTTGGGCAGATTCACTTGGAGAGCCAGGTCATCTCAGTGCAGGTCCTGAGAGTACCGCAGAGTAAGTCTTGCAGGAACCAGGGGAAGACCAGAGCTCCAGGATGAAAGTCTGGCCTCAGGGATAGAAAGCAGACCCATACCAGAAGGCAATATTGACTGCATCTCCACCTTAGCCTAGAGAACAATGGGGTGAGGAAGGAGAGAAAGACAGAATGCGAGAGGCCTCACCTGCTTAATGAAGGTGATGGAAACCATGTCCCAGGAGACAATGCCATGGTCCATGAGTTCTAAGAAGGCAGTCAGGGTGAATGCCAGCATCTCACTGTAGCTGAGACATGTGCAAAACACACACAAAATACAAAGATTCAAAATCGGGCACAGGTGTGAAGGCAGCCACAATGGAAGGATTTCAGTGTAAGCACTACATGAGCAATCAGTCGATGCAACTCTGAGTCAGCGCTTGCATGCACACCTACACAGACGTGGAGCAGATCTGTCCAGGTATCTCTCACTGGAAACATAAAGGCTGCTGGGGATTAGGCTTTCCTTCTCCTGTCACCTCATCCCAGGGAAACAGAATCACTTATCCATTTCCAAGAACAAAACCACAGCAGACCTTTGTCAAACCCCAATACCTTGTGCGGGTACCTAAGGAAGCATATGTACCATGTTCACCTTTATGCCTGGAGGCAGATGAGTACCCACTTGGGATGTGGGTTCAATTCCTGTTCAGCTATTTGCTAACTGTGCAAATTTTATCTTTTCAAACTTTAATTTCTTCCCCTGTAAAATCATGTTACTCTCACTGGGTTGTGGTGGGGGCAAGATGACAATAAATGCAAAGCCCTTAGCATTGTGCTGATGGAAAATAAGGATGAAAATGTTTTCTTCCCTTTGTCTGCCCTGTTTATACATTAAGTCCTTTATACTTCTGTAGAGTGCTTTGTAATTAACAAGCTATACTCCCATGGACAAAGCCTGCTCAGATCCATTCTCGTTTACAATGCTCCTCATGACAATACTGGGGCATTATCCCCATTTTAAAGAGGAAGAAGCGAAGGCCCTTCTAATCCTGTACTCCTGGGAGACTGCAGCACTCTTGGGGGGAAAGGGGGTGTGTCAATGCTGATGACAGTGAAAGCTTTAGGATTTTCTAGGACTTAAACAAATACCCATGATTAGTTGCTTGGTTTGGCTGAAAATTTCAATAGCTAATCTGTCGGCTGAAAGATTTCTGACTCTCTCTCTGCCAGCTTAGGCTCCACAGGCTCAGAAGGCAAACTAAATATGTTATTCACTGTGGATCACGACAAGCCAGTTTCCCACCACATTCATCTCGGCGCTGGAGCAGCGTAAAGATGTTCGTGGTGTACCTCAAAGTTCTGGGTCTCCTCTGCCCTGTAAAAATGGGTGGCAGGGAGACGGCACATGGATAGGGGGTAACCTATGATAAACACAGAGAGAAAGGGGTGTGTGTGTGTGTGTGTGTGTGGAGGGGAGATACTGGACAGGGAAGGAGGCAGGGGGAGATTAAGAATAGACAGGCACCTGTTCTATCAGATCAATCATTTTCCATAAATGTACAGGTCTGTCTTCAGCTGACCTCTATCTTCCTGAGTTCAGCAGCCCCTACTACTATTCACTTGGCACAGTACCATTTTGTGAGACTATAAGATTTAGGACCACGATAGTGAATTACATCCCTCTGTGTGGACTCTTGTGCTTGGCACACTGCTCTGGATGCAGACGGCTTTCAAAAACCTCATTTGACTCAATGGAAATGAGAATAGGATGCCCTGTGGAGAGTAGCAGACCTCCAAAAGCCCCAGACAAGACCTCACCAGTACTCACTGGGACAAGAGCTTGGTTCCACTTTCCACGAGCCGCGTCAGCACAACAATGCCATCCATGTTGATGAACTCGGTGGCGAAGGTCACGTCGGCAGAGAGCTTGGCCAGCTCCTTCATGGCATCCAGCCGGGTCTCCATGCTGGATGACTGGGTCCTCTCCATCAGCTGGCGTGCGGCCCGGGACTGTGAGAGCAGAAACAAGATATCTGCCATCTGCTCCTTATGGCAGGTGATTGCTCTGTGGATAGCTCTGGGGCCCTTTCTGTGAACATCCGTGCCTGAGGCAGAACTAGTTTTTTTTTTTTCCTCACTGGGTAGAAGCTGTTAAATAAATGTTCACTGGATAAATCGGGGAATTACCAGTATGCCCAGACCAATTCTGTAGTATCTATATTTTTTGTGGAACACTCTGGTCTATGGATTAAAGGAATTCCCACCCAGGGAATACAAGAGATATCCGAGAGATGACAGTCCACTAACTCTGGCAAGTCACAGAGAAACAGATACTGGTTCCACGTAGGGCAGTTTTCTGTTTATTAAAGCCATTAGACAGTGGAAGTGGTTGTCTCTTGAAGTAATAAGCTCTTGGTCACTAGATGCAATCAAGGAGAATCCGGACAACCATCTATCAAAGATGCTACAGAAGGGATGCCTGGGTGGAGAATTTAATCTGATGATGCTGAAGATCCCTTTCAATCTGAAAATGGGGGAAGCCTCACAATTTTTTTTAAAACTTTCTCTTCAAGTCCACATCATTGTTCCTCAAAGTGATAGTCCTGGGGAAACTTTAAGAATATCAAGGAGCAGCAAGCATCTAATTTCAAAATAGCTTTTTGAAGATGAAGCCTGTGACGAAGCCTCCCTGTGTGGGAACTTTTCCTGGCAGAATGCTTCTCTCCACACTTCAAGCTACAGCCACAACCCCTCCTCTGTGTTCACTGATCTTTCCTTTTGCTAAACTTATTAACTTTATAGTCCATGCCTCACAATTTACCGTTTCATCATTCTCTGTTTCTGGTGTGTTCATTTAATGTTAACAGTTGGAATGGAAGACTCTCAAGAGCAAAAATGCTCCTGTAGTCTTTATTGTTTTTTTTACAGAGCTAAGCAAGTGACTGAAGCCTAGTCTTGTTGCCGGCCTAGGAGTCAGGCCTGTTTCATCTCTCTCCCCTGTGCCCCTCCTCTTTGACTATTATAGATGGCCCTTTAACAGCACACTGCTCTCAATGATACAGAAATCCTTCAAGATCTCCACAGCGGGGAAAATGTCCGCCAGGAGAAAAGGTCACAGGAGAGAACAATCTGAAGAGCACTGGACTGCATCACACTTAGAAACTTCCAACTCCAAATGTTAATTTCCCTCTTGAGACAGCATGTCTGGGCGGCTGCCTCCTGCTCTAGAGAGGTGTGCTTCTGGGAAAGTCAAATGCTCCATACCAGAGCTCTGTAGGATGCTTCATGAGTCTATAAAAGTGAGTAACTCCAAGACTGTCATATTAAATTAGCAGAGTTGAGGGGGGAATAACGAAGTCCTTAAGATGAGTTCAGGAAAGGAGAGGGAAGCAGAAGAATGGGATGATAAGAATGCTGGCTGGAGTCTGACAGACCTGTAGCATTGTGACATGTGGCAAGTTAACCTCTCTAAGCTTAGTTTGTCTGCCAAATGAGGCTGTCAAGAGTGCCCATCTCATTGGGTATTTGTTAGGATTAAAAGATATAACCTATGCAAAGTATTTAGCAAAACATGGGTGTTTAAGAAATGTTGGCAGTTATTACTTCAAACCTCCCTTCCTTGTAGACAAACAAGTTTCTCTCTCTGTATCTGTCTGTCTCTGTCTCTGTCTCTCTGTCTCTCTCTCTCTGTCTCTCTTCCTCTCTCAAGAAAACAGGCGTCCTTAATTTTCTGGTGGCCTTTCCACAAATATACCTAAGCTACCCCGCATCGACTGTCCTCCTCTTGGGCTGAGCAGCCAGGGTGCGTCCCTCCACCTGGGCTTTGGCTTCCTCCTGGTCTGACCCAGAAGGGTCCTGTTCCATTCATTGCCCCCTCTTTCTGCACTGTCAGCCTTCCTCTTGTCCATCTTAACGAGATTTTCAAGGACACACAAAAAGATGCAACATTAGTTAACAACTATGAAGAGTTGGAGGAGGTGGAGAACTGGGTAGATGAGGGAGGGTAGTAGGGGAAAGACCTTTCATTGTATTTTCATGAAAATTTGTTGATTTTTTTGAACACTTGAATGTTTTCCTCTTTCTAAAGATCACATTTTTTGCCTTTCACATTTCTGAGTTACTACCATCTCCACCTATTTCCTTCTATAACCAAGCTTGTTAGTAATATGGTAAACTGGAGGTTCTCAATTTTTCACTTCTTTTTATCAACCCATGACAATCTGGATGTCACACCACGAAAACAGTTTGCAGGAAGCTCACCATGACTGACTGACATAACAGGTTAACAGCCAGCCTTTTGGTTCTGTTTCTCTCTCTGCTCCTTGTGGACACATCCCTCTGTCCTGACACTCTGCTGCCCTCAGCTCCTGAGTCTTTTCATGCTCCTGGTTTTCTTCCTGCCCTTCCTGTGCTCCCTTAGTTACCAGTGAAGGCTGCTCTTGCAGAAAACAGGGATCATCCTGGATTCTCCCCTTTCCTTCCACATCCAGTATGTTACCATGTTTATCCAGTTTACCGCTAAATTTTTCATCTCCATTGCCATTTGCTTTCAAGGGCTGTTAGCATTCCTCATTAGTTTCTTAGATATTCCGCCTGCCACCAACCTTTCTTTTCTTGGCCGATCTTCCACCCTCTGACTAAAGAGATCTTTCTAAAATATAAATCTAGCTGAAGCTGGTTTGGCTCAGTGGTAGAGCATTGGTCTGCGGACTGAAAGGTCCCAGGTTCGATTCCAGTTAAGGGCATGTACATTGGTTGTGGGCACATCTCCGGTAGGGGGTGTGCAGGAGGCAGCTGGTCGATGTTTCTCTCTCATCGGCGTTTCTAGCTCTCTATCTCTCTCCTTTCCTCTGTAAAAAATCAATAAAATATATTAAAAAATAAATAAATAAAATAAAATATAAATCTAAACGTAATATATAACTTCCTGCCCAAAATCTTTCAGTGTTCCCACCTTCCCTTCTAGACAGAATCCAAACCCATAAGCAGACCACCAGGCTTCTCACTGATGGCCACAGGCCCTAGCTATCCTGCATCCCGCTTTCCCCAGACCAAGTATGTCTCTCTGCTTGGGACATTTCTCATTTTCTTCTTTCTTCAGCTTTTCGTGTTCAGTCTTTGACATTCAAGCTATGTGTTCCCTTCTCTGGGAAGCCTCTGGTTGAGTCAGGTGGTCCCTTTTCTGAGTTCCTACAACTCCCTAAGCAACTTTCCATCAAGACCCTTGAGAAAGGCTATCTATTGTATTTGTTGGTTTCATCTCAAGTAGACTGTGAGGGCGAGGACTGACTTGTTAATCTCCACAGTCTTAGTTTCTAGAACAGAGTCGGGCCCAGGATAGAAACTCATACATGTTTGTTAAATAAATTAATTCCTAAGGAAAGCACCTACCGGGGAGATAGCCAGCTGTAAGATTGTCCCATTCTTAATGTCACTGCGAGTCTGGGAACAAAGAGAAAAAAAGAGTAACTAAAATAAAATATTAAAATTGTACAAGCTGTTGAGTAAACAAGAACTTTCTGTCATTTCCAAAGGAGTTGGAACAGAGACTCTTCAGTCTGGCCCTCTTCTCCTGCTGCTTGTTTCTTGGCACAGAATGTCTAAGGTCTTTTTCAAGCCCTGGGCTCCCAGGAAGTAAAACCATGGTGTTCCAGCCAGGAGTGGAGAACAAGGGCTGGCGCTCCCTAGTCTGCCAGGAAGCAGCTTTCCCCAGTGAGTGGAAGCTCCCTGGTAAGGTGAACGGCGTGGTCTCCTTGGGTGGTGCACGGCAAAGCAAGGCCTATATTGATTTTCGTCTCCTCGTACTGACCTGTTCAGTGATGTAGAGCTGGGGCCCATCTGCATACCGCAGGGTATAATACTCAGGGTTTGGCAATGACCACCTGTGTAAAGAGAAAAATAGTACAGCCTGTTTGGCTACTCCTCTGGACCCATCTAGAAGGTGCAAATAAATAATTTCAATAGAATTGCTCAAGGGGTCGGGTGGCATGTTTAAAGGACTGCGGACAAAAATCAAAGCTTTAGGTTGAGATGTTGAAAAATAACCTCCTCAAGGTTACAAATAACTTTGTAAGATTGACAGCACAAAAGGAGATACACATAATTCATCATGGATCTCAGATCCCACCAGGACCTCAGGCAGGGCATTCCTGGACTTAAAGGGAAAACTAAAGACTGATAAGAGGTCTAAGGGTCACCTTCATCAGCTATCCTTCCTTTGTAAGGCAACGATGCACAAAGCCCATACTCGGGATCTGACTAACTGGAGACCCTTCAGCAGAAGACCTGTCAAGACCTGGTAGTGCTCCTTTAGTCTCTAGCTTACCAGCATCCAAAACAAGGGAGTTTCAACTTACCCATCACAAACTTCCTTGATGATGGATGCCAGGGGCCGTTTCTGAAAGAAAGAGAGGGGTCATCCTTCAACCGGATCCTCCTCGTGCCAAGGTTCTGACCAGGGGCTGCCAAGCAGGATTAACCTGGGGTCTGAGCATGGACTTCTCCCTTGACAGCTGGTATTGAGAGGCAGCCTCTCCCAAGCCATGGTGACCAACCTTCCGTAGGGTGGGACAGGCCTCAGCTCTCCTCTGGCAGGTTCTTACTCCTGATGCCAGTGGTCCTCAGCCCTAAAGACATCCCCTGCCACACACTTCCCAGATCCCTCTGCTCGCATCACTGTTTGTCATTTCAGGAGCTTACCTGGTCGATTTCAAGGAGCTGGGCATTAGCACCTGGCCACTCAATGGCCACTTTGACAATATCTGATGGTGGAGGCATTGTTCCCAAAGGGCCCTACTTCTCTAAGATGCACACACAGATACAGCTGCCTGGGGAGAAGGAATCAGAAGGAAGAAAAAAGTCAGAGTTTGCGTTCACTTTTCACCCTTGTAAGATATTTTGGAAATCTAGAAGACAGACATTGTCCAAAGGCCAAACTACTACACATGAACTACTTAGTTTGAATTTTTCTAGATCACACCACAATCTCTCCTTGGGGCTTTTTGTCTCTTTGGATTAAATCAGCAAGTAGAAATGGCACAATCCTATCTATCAACTGCAGATCAGCCAGTAGGAAGATCTGCCAACGTGGCACTTCAGTTTAAGGGGAAAGAGTACTCTGTGGCAGAAGAACACATTTACTGCAAATTCCTGTCTTGGGACCGTGAGAGGGAGAAGCATATGCTCTGAGATGGGTAAGAACAGACGCCGCCTTCTCTCGCTTGGGCAGTTAGCTGAAGGAGCCAGCCCACTGGTGCTGTGCAGGCAATCCAGGAAAATCCCAGCACCAGCAGGGCCCGGCCACATGCTCTTTTGCCTCCTCCCTGGTTATTGCTGCCACTCCTTCCCCCTCAAAGGACACAATGTGGAGCCTCCTCTGTGTGGGATGATGCAGAGTTCAGAATATGGGGAAGAGAAAGAAGACAGGAAATGCTATTTTAGTCGCTATTGCCAAGGGCAAGCGCTGCTGAGAACTCAAGTGTAGGGAGGTGAGGATAGCCTCACACAGAGCCCTCTAGAGAAGGAGGTTTTGGAAGTACCTCTGGCCCCCTCCCCTACTTCTCTCCAAAACGAAAGAAAATAAATCATTTTGAACAAGTCTGGAAGATGCGCCCATGTGACTGATATCCTAGGCAACTCTGCTAGCTTAGTGGTATTCCAAGCAGCAGCTAAAGCATTCTCTCTCCAAGGTCTGACGAAGGGACGTCACTAGACTAACAGATCATTTCATGTGTATTCACACTCCTCGCCTGTAAGTTCAGGAGAGGCCTTTCTCTTAATGAAAAGACCCTCCTGCCCCCCAGGTTTAGTCCCTCACCCGTAATCCACTCTTCATGGACGGAGAAGGCCTGCCTCCCCTGGAACATAGCGCAGATGCTGCTGAGCTGTAGTTCCTGTATGCTATCCGTTTTCCAGCCCGAACACAAAGGGCAGTTCTCCCAGCCTCGTGAGCATGAAGAGTCCTGTCCCCACAAGAGGAAAGAGTCCTTTCCTCACAAGAGGAAAGCTTTCCTGACCATTTCCTGACCAGGGTGGGCTGCTTCAGAAGTCAATCGTCACAAATACAAGCATTTCCAGAACAAGACAATGTAAAAAAAAATGGTTTCATGTGCTTTCACTTAGTTTGTTGGGTCCTCCCAGCAGCCAAATGAAGTAGGCAGAGTAGAATTACTACCTCCCTGTGAAGATGACAAGATGATGCTCGGGTTAAGTTGCCCGAGTTCACCCAGCTGATAAGTAGCCAAGGGGACAGAAGCTGGAGCTAACTTTGGCCAATGCTCTACCTCCCATCTCCCTCCAAGATAGCCTGAATTCCTGTTCACGGCAACTAAATCAAGCCTAAAGGGACTTTAGGAGGCTGGCCTGATGGCCCCTAAAGCTTCCACAACTTCGGCAGCTCCGAGCAGAATTTCTCACGTATAATTTTTATGTGCCTAGACATACAACAAACCTCTGAATAGAAACTGGCCCCATGAGAATAACTCGTGGTTGAAGTGCTCTGCTCCAGTGACACAGCAAAGCAGGGGCGGTGCCACGAATATCTGGGTGCTAGGGCAGTCATCCTACCCTTATCGGTAAATCTGCCCTCATTAGGGGTGTGACTGTCAGTTGTGAGATAATTTTAGAAAACTGAGATGTCATTATGTACATAGAATAAAATGCACAGAGCTTCTATGTATAGTTCTATTATAGTATTCCTATTATGTATATGTTTCTATGATGTAAATATATTATATATAATGGAAATACCCACATCTCCCTAACCTAAAACAAGACTTTGAACATTTTCATTACCCCAGAAAATTCCCTCCATCATTCCCTCCTACCTCCCAGCCCTCTGAGAGGCAACTTCTTTCTGACTTCTGTCACTTTGCCTGTGTTTATACTTGATATACATGGAACGGAACAGCATGCCTTCTTAGAACATTTGTTACTTAGTTCATTTTTCCTTATTTTTAAAATAAGTAGACAGCATAGGGACAAGAGGAAGAGCAGCTTGCTGGGATGGCTTTCCCTACTGAAGCAGCAACTGAATTTAGAGCCAAAGGACTTAGTACCAATCCCAGTCCCATCACTAAGTGTCTAAGTGATGTGCACATGTCTCTTTTATCCAAGTCTCAGTTTTTGTTTTTTTCTACTATGAGATGTGAGTGTGAAACTAAAGATGTTTAAGATGCCTTCTAAGTCTAAAAGTCCGTGATTCTAAAGTGAACTTAAAACTTTGTATGCAGATTGCCCATTTCAAAGTCCTTACCGAAAGAAGCTATACCCTTATTTCAATGGTGCTGCTAAGAAACAAATAGTATTTTGGGGAACTCCTTTCCAGATACCATTGTTAGAGATAAACAAGCTAAAGCTCACTAATTTACAATTCCACTTTACTTCGACCCCATATGGCATTTCCTAGGTCAACTAACTGTCCCTTTCTTTCATTTTTTCTTCTTTTTAAAAATATATTATATTTTATTGATTTTTCACAGAGAGGAAGACAGAGGGATAGAGAGTTAGAAACATCGATGAGAGAGAATCATCGATCAGCTGCCTTTTGCACACACCCTCCTTGGGATGTGCCCGCAACCAAGGCCATGCCCCTGACCGGAATCGAACCCGGGACCCTTCAGTCCGCAGGCTGATGCTCTACCCACTGAGCCCAACCGGTTTCAGCCTAACTGTCCCTTTCTTTGTTCAAGTTAGCCCTGAGTGAATCCAAACTGTTCCAAGAATTTATATCCATTTTAAAGCTTGGAGACTTGCGACCACCAAGACTACTATAAACCCCCATTCTCAGCCACTCTGCCCTTCCCCACAAAGCCAGGCAGCCCGGTGGGTGAATGACCTCTCCCCAACTATGCCATAGCTGATGGCACCAAGGTGAACACTCAACTTTAGCTGGACTAGTCCAATTCTTTCTTTTGAACTTACAGACACAGGCCAAAAGGGAGTTGGATGGCAATGACCCTGGAACAGAAAGATCACAGTCAGCTTTAGAACAGGTATCATGGCAAGCCCAGGCCATTCGTAAGCCAAAGGTACAGAGAAGCAACCCCCTGGCCCTGCAGAGGGAGCTGCTCTGCAGAAAGAATCCAGAAATGTGCAGACGTTTGGAGGCCAGAAACCAGAAGCCACAAAGTCCCCGGAAGAGATGGAAGAGGACTTTTGAGATCCCATGGCTACACCTCCTACACTTGTACCGGAAATTCCCTTGTATCACGCCAATAAAACTTTAAATTAAACTAGCCTGCATTTCTGTTCATTGCAGCTAAAAAGCCTAAGACTAAGATTGACCCACGCTTTGAAGCAACTCTTATATGGAGATATGAACAGACCGCAGCATAACAGGCATAAGATGATGCACCAAGAAGGCCCTTAATTAACATTGGCTGAATTAATGAAGAGCAGAACCCACTTATTTAAAACAGAGCGGTTATACGGTGACTTTACAGCAATCATCTGTACATAACAGTTATGTGTAGATGCCTCTGTATCGCTCATTCTATAGCATTTTTATAGCTGATGCTCACAAAAACCCTGAAATCACCCGTATTTTACAGGTGAGGCTCTTGGAGTTCCGAGGAGTTGAGAAACTTGTCTTCCATACACCTCCACCTCAGAACTGGATCACAAGGCTGGGTCTTAGGACTTCAAAATTCATTCTCTTCCCTCTACGTAAGAATTCCTTTGATGATGACGTTACCTAACAATTACATAGTGCTATGGTACTACTCTCAGGGCTTTGCAAATATTAACTCATTTAATCCACACAGCAACCCTATATGGTACATTATTACCCTTATTTACAGATAAGAAAATGGAGGCACAGAAAAATTACGTTCCATGCTCAGTGTCACAGCTAGGAAGTAGTACAGTCAGAATTTGATCCAAGGCAGACTGGTGTTGTTTGAAAGCCATGTGAATAAAGTAAGACTGTATCTGGCCCATAGCAAGTCCTCACGGGAGAATTCTAGTTTGCTGTACCTGAAGCTAGAATACACTGAAGCTAAGAGACCCACAAAACAACTCACTAATTTAACAGATAATGGTACTCCACCATCTAAACTAGTTGGTCCCGCACAATCCAGCCAGATCTCCCTGGACTACTTGCTATTTTTATGAGGTAGGTCATGTTCCTTCATTTCTTCTGTACCTTTTCACATGCTCTTCCTTCCTTAACTGTCAAATGAACTCCTAGTCAAGCTTCAAAGCTCAGCTCAAATGTCACTTCCTCTCTGTACCATTCTTATGTTTCCTCACCTTTCCTTAGCAAAACAAAATAGGATTTACACCTTTTTCACTAGCTCCTCCTGTGGTCTCACCAGGCATGTAGTTGTGGGTCAGTGAGCATTCGTGTCTGCTTAAATCCTCCAGCCCTGGCTTCAACACCTATGCACTAGCTCTAAATGGAAAGGAACTGGCATGAATTGTCTTAGTTGCCTGATATTCCCATCATGTCTTACAACCTCCCAACTACACCATATTTCCATTGTTTAAAGTTTTGTTTTCATATCTAACATTAGACTGAGTTTCACTAGAGAACCAGATTTAGTACCCTGACTCTAGTTAAAAGAAAGGGGGAAATATCCCTCTGCTTTTCTCCTTATAGAAACATCGGTAAATAGGAGAATAGAAGTAATAACATTCTCCAGACCATTTTCCCAGGATAAAGGATCTCCTTGTGGGGCACTCTTCCAGCACTTGTTTGCTTACTCTTTTCATTTTCATTCTAGAAAGGAAGTGGAAATTAGGTGGAAGCAATTCAATAACATTGCAAATTCTTGGGTTTATAAATAGCCTTACTCCGCCACTCAGCAGTTCTATAGAGCTCACTAGC